CTGGACGCAGCCCTTGCCGTCGTTCTCATAGCCGAGACCACCAGCGTCAAGAAAATGAGTGTTCCATCGTCCTCAGGCGGCTCGAGATCCGCAGAAACGGCATGTTCGTGAGTTGGGATGCTTAACCTCACGGGGAAATGGTCCAAACCCAACCTCGACTTGGGCAATATCGGCCCTGATGTCTGCTTCTCAGCCTGATAGCCCAAGAAATACGAAATCTTATCAAAGTCGTTATAGATCCTGTCAATGCGGTTATCCGCTTCGCCCAAATTCTTCTCAGCACCCGAAATAGGAGTATTCCCCGATGAAGGATCCGTAATCAGCTCCATATACTGGTGAAGGAAATTGTAAAAGTAGCCCGGGAAGACCTTATCTTTCCAAAAGTCAAGATACTGCTCAGCCGAATACCGCCTCTCAGGATCAAGCTGGATCATATGGGCAATCATGTCGCGCACGTCCTTGTCCGAGATGACGCTCAGATGAGTGATGACGGGATCGTACTCGCCGCGCCGGTACTTATACAGCTGGGCGAGGCTAAAGATTTCCGACTCGAGAAACAGCTGGGCAATGACACATCCCGCACTGAAGACGTCCATAGCCCACGTCATCTTGGGTTTCTGAGGCGGCGCTTCGTTAGAAGAGTAGAAGCGCTCAGGCGCAATATAACACGTCCGCCGGCCAGACGAGTCGAAAAAGTAGGAAAAGTCGCCCGGGTTGTCGTCCGGCAGCATGATGGGCTTGTAGGCAGACGAGAAGTCGGTCAAGTACAACCAGTTCCACGATGTGACGAGCACGTTCTGGGCCTTGATGTCGCCGTGGTAGACGTCGCGCGCGTGGCAGTCCCGCAGGGCGCAGAGAAGCTGGAACGCCAGCCACTTCTTCTCAATATCCTCCAGGAAGGGCCGCGTGCTCATGCGGTCATAGAGCGAGCTGTACATAAACTGGCGCACAAGGTATCCGTTCGTCTCCGTCTCGATGATGCGCTGGAAGCCTAGTGCATTAGGGACGCCCGCCAACGCCTTGCGCTGCTCTGTTCCAAAACAATCAGCATGGATCGTCTTAGTCTTTCGCTCAGAGTTGCCAAAAAAGCTCACCTATAATCTTCTTCTTGTACGTCTCCAGCTTCACCTCCGGGTAGGGCTTCACAAGCACCTTGACCAGCACCACGCCGTTCTCATGTCTGCCCCGGATGCTCTTCATGAAGCGCGCATTTCCTATGCTCTTTTCGTACTGAATGTCCAGCAGCTGCGCTATATCTATGCCCGCCGCGCCGGCCGACGGCGTGGCGAGAGAAAAGCCTTGACCCATGGCTTCGAACGAACAAGAAGACGAAAGAAAGGTGGGTGGGAGGCGTAGCCCTCGTCCTCCGAGCAGCTAGAGAAGGTGTCGAGACAAGTAGGTGAAGGAGGGGGAATAGCGGGATGCGGCGTCTTATCGTTCGGCCAGGGAGGAAATAGGCGTCATTTTGAACGGAAACAAACAGTTTGCAGGTGGGCGAAGGAGTCACCGGGATCGCGATATGTTGTCGGAGTCGTGAGTATGGAGAGGGTGGGTTTGGTTCCAGAGAGGTTCTCGAGATGGAAGCTCTGCTCTCTGGACGTTGACGGAGGGACGTCACCTGGCTATAATGGTGGTCCGCAGCCTCATGGGAGCTTGCCGGGGCCGCTTGTTCTTATGGGTGTCACCGCTGTGGACTGCGGCCGGTAGTGGGCGGATTTAGCGCTTTGACGCCCACTAGCATCACTAAACTGACTTTGTTAGGCTGCTGCTAAACAGCTCCTACCCATTGATAGCAAGGACTGGGTATTGGAATGCTACACCTACGTAGAGATAAGGAAATGAATGCATCTCAAATGTCTATCAACGACGCCTCGAACATGGTTTACCATCAGATATTAAAGTTCAAGGCACTAGCAGTTGATTTAACAGCTTTGAATTAAATATACTATGTATTCCAATTAACCGCAGTGGGAATATCCAAAATACCATGTACCCAAAAAGAGAAGAAGAAAAACACAGCCAAGGTGATATTTGCGTAGGTACGTTGGTAGATATAGTATCTTAGTAGATACCTAGAAGTGACGGTTATGGAATCAACACCCAAAAGAATCCCCAATATCCAAGACTCGTGTACAAGAAAGAAAAAAGAGAGAAGAAAGGAAATGAAGAGTCATGAAGAGAGAGGAACAGGCTCAGAATCCAGCACTGCATTGCCCTTCCACCTCGAGGTATCGACAAGATGCAATTTTTTTCTCAACTTCCTAGAGTCCCGGTAAAGTCTGATCCGAAATGTTTTGCTCCGAAAGCTGAGGTAATAAAAAAAAAGAATTTCAAAATGAAGGAGGTATTGATGAGAAAAGAGAAAAAAGCTGGTAAAAGAAAGAATCAATGATGATAGTAAAACAGAAACGCCCATATGCCCCCTTTCGCGGCTATATGCGGGACTCCCTTATAGCTTTGGCTTCAATAAAAACCCCTTGAGTCAAATGCTTAGATATAAACCCCCCTTTCCTGAACTCCAATGCATACCAGGATCGTTAAAACAAAAGTAGTGTGTTTTTTCATTCCGTCATTGGTTAGGAAATGTGTGACATTTCCGGATCCCATGCCGAACCACATCGGCTATGCAAAAACAAGAACCCCCCTCTTTCCCCTTAGTTGACCACAGCACGCATGCGCATCTGCCTTGAAGAGTTGTAGCGTATCCTTGCCAGCATGGCTTCGGCATCGAAATCGTCTTGGCCAGCATTGGGATCCGCCTCGATTCGATCGGCCACGTGCATGACAGGGACTCTCGGCGCAGCAGAGTCTGCCACTTCGAGCTTCCGTGAGTGGACGTCGTCGACCTCCTTGTGGTGTGGTACCAATGTCCGGCTGACGGTGATTGACTTCATCGTACGAGGCTTGGCATCGGCGGCTTCCTTGAGCATCTCGGGCTCTTCACGTTCGACACGCTCCATTTCCTCCTTGGCCATGAGGAGAACCTCGCCTATACGCTTCTGAATCTTCTGAACCTCTTCGCTGCACTTGGCATCCCTCAGAAACTGGTGGGCACCATGCTCGCAGGTGCTCTGCACGAACTCGAGAGCCTTATCCAGCTCATCATATACATCAGGAGTCTGGTTGGCCAGGCCAGGGTGACCCAGGCGCATGGCAGCAGGTCCATACCGCCGGCTGCTGATATATCGTAGTGAAGGAAGAGCTTCGGCGGCCTTGTCATCACCAGCGCTATCATCGTCTGGTACTTCCATCTCAGCCAGCTTCTTGATCTGAGCCACCTTGGCTGCCATCTTGGCTTTCCGCATCAGATTCCTACTTGACGAGATGAACCTGACGAGGTCATCAAAGAAACCCTGCACGTAGCTGTCGTAGTAGACGATGATCATATTCCTCGTGCGGTATGTCTGGCGAGGCCCATCCGCAGAGCAAATGGATGTCATTCTGTTCTTTTTGACTACTCGGTTGCTGGGGATCCCGTTGGTGTCTGTTGCAGACTTGGGAAATGCCGGGCGCTTCTCGGCAGCCGGGCTCGGCGGTGATGACCGGCGCTGTCTGTTGCTGTGGAAGGGTGTTGCGGCAATCTCTGGCTGCTGGGCGGGTACATCTTCGGGGAAGGAAATGTGCATGGCGCCATCATCCTTGGGCTTAAGGGACTCTTGTGAGCCCTTATTCCTCAGTGATCTGGTCTCGGGTTCCTTGTTGGGGTTTGCCTCGGCCAGAGCCGCTAGCTCCAGCTGGCGCTTGTCAACCTGGCTGCTCAGCTCATCGAGCCTGGTCTGCCAGTCGGGTATGTTATTTATCAGGTTTTTGAGAGCCTCGATAGCCATATCGCGGAAGTTGGATTCCCGCGACGAGACTCTTGACGGAGCAATCGTGGCGGCGTTAGGTGATGATACACCTAACAATGAACCTATGGAGTCTGTTTTGGGCCTGTTTCAACTATGTTACAAGGCGCCGATAGACGTAGCCTCTCGTCCCGGGAGAAGGGCTTTCGTCGAGTGTCAGTCGGGTAGAGTTAGACGGTCGTCGTGAGGAAGCTCTGCTTTGCTCTTGGTGTAATGGGAGAGAAAAGAGCTCAGGAGGGCGAGCTGGTTGTCGAATATGCCGCTCGTGTCAAAGGAAGACGGGGTAGAGTGTCGTTGAGCTTGTGAAGACCGAAGGCGTAGTAGAGGGTGTTGTACGAGTATATCTGTGTGTATGGTACCGATGCTGGTTGGGATTTTTTTTTTTTTCGACAATGGGCGCAAACGGCGATGTTCTTCTGCTACTGAAGATGAGGGGGGAGATGCAAGATCCGGTTAGGCGAGATGCAGTTCGGTCGAACGACTGAAGGATTAGAAAAAAGGAAGAAGCAGGAGGATCGCTTGGTGATCCGGGGAGGTAAATAGCAGGCAGAGCTGTTAAAAGCGAGGACGCAAACAGAGAGCGAGAAGAAGAGGCGCGCGGTAGAGATAGGGTGGTGTAATATTAATAACGGCTGGCCATGAATTGAGACGGGGCCCTTGTAGAGGTAGCGAGGATAGCGGTACAGGTGCTACAAGGTACGAGTACAGCGCTGGCTGCAAGGTTTGGCGGAGTGTGCGCTGCTGTGTTGGGCGTGGCAGCAGCGCGTGCGAGGTACCAGTTACTGGCACCGTGCGGCAGCTGCATGGAGGGCGTGTGCAAGGGTCGAGGGGGGCGTCGAATTAGGAGGCAAGGGTCGACGGCTGCGACTGCGAAAGGTGCTGCCAGCAGTTGCAACAGGTACACAGAACATGGGACTGAGGCCGCGCACGGGCCGCCGCGTCGCACAGTAGGATGCGCACAGTGCGCGAACCCTGAGTCGCCGTGTCACTCGTCGCGGCCACTACACGAATCGACCGGCTGCCCCGCGGCTACAGCGGCCACCCGCCCGCTCCACTGAGGTCGATGCCGCTTGTACCTCTGGGGCCGAGGTGAGCTGCAGCACACTGTGGATTGGCCTGCATGCATCGCAGCAAGCAGAGCGACCGGCGTACTCTGTACTTGTGAGCGTGTTTGACGCAGTGTCAACTTTGCATCAACTTGGCAGCAACGGGGGGTACGGCCACCGCATGCCGCATCTGCCGCCCTCTTTCAATGGCGCGCAGGCACTACCCCGATCAGGCATTTGTACCATGGCCCAGCTGCCCTGTGCGCTCATACAAGGGATGTACAGCCTCGGGGGTGCGAGCTGGCAAGCAGCTGCTCGTACTGGGCTTGTACTCCGACAGACATCGGTACCTGGACCGGCTCAGCCGACCGCCTGATCGCTGCGGGACTCGTTGTCGTTTTGTCGCAGTGCAATTCCACAGCTGTTGGAGCATGGAGGACTCGCGCGTTGGCGTTGGCATCTCAGTCGGCTCATTCTCCTCGTTCTGTGTCAGTTCTGAGGCGGGCCAATACGTGCTAATCCACGTTATTGTGGGCAAAAGGGTCTGGTTCAGTGTTCTGCTCTGCTATGTACTGTACTCGTACTGTAATTTCAAGTGGGGAGAGGCGGCCCCTCTAAACCCCGAAGGACAGAAGCAGGGCTTAGTGGCACAGCAATCGAAAGTAAATGCAGGGCCGTGGGAAGATGGCGTCTCTGATACGGTGCAGTTGACCGACGCTGCAAATACAGCACAGCGGCCAACTCGATTCACGCTCCTGTTGCGGATGTCGGACGGCCACAAGACGACACGACGACAACTTGATCAAGCAGTTGGTGGCTCAGGAGTGCACGAGGACATCCATGACATGGAAGGCAAATGAAACAGCGGCAATAGATTTGTAAAACCCGACCACGAGTAAGCATTTGGCCCGTCAAAGCTGTCGATCGGCAAGGTCGTGCTTCCGCGAGCCGCGCCATGTCGGCTCTCCGCGCCGCCGTTTTTTAGCATCACGGCCAGCTCGAGACGGGGGCTTATATGCCACTGCTAGGCGCGAATCTACCGAGAGGCCGATTCAATTCAGGCAAGCGACTCGAAAAGGTTCCAGTATTCCAGACTCGAACGGCGCCTTGCAAGGCTGTAGAGTTTGCACGGCTTTCGAGATGGTGCAAACTGTATCTGCACCATCCACAAGCCTGATACTCAACTCAATCTCAAGCCTCTCGCCTTGTTTTCCTCTTTCCAATCACTGCAATGCAGAGGTTCTAGCTTGCAAGGATAATCAAACATGCCATACTGTACTGTATAGTCCGGTGCATGCTGTACTGTAAGCAAGCCTCTCCTTCTGCCACCACATTGCTACCACGGAGAGTGTAACCTCTCTTTGCATTTTACATGGAAGCTGCAGTTGGTGTGTGCTCCGTTGCTGGCACCACGTCGCAGTTCGTTCGTTCGTCAGATGCCATGGCCATGCCATAGCCGGCCTGTGCTGAAAACTGAAAACTCGGCCGGCTGCAAGCTTTCGGCAACTCGTGCCCGTCCAGATCTCTGTAACACGGGCTCGTTCACGGAGAGAGACAGGCATCAGCGTGCGAGGATACGGAACTCGTGCTCGATGATGCCCTGTCCCACCCGCAAACACCTGCTGTGACGTGAAATGTGGCTCACCTGCTAGCGGGTCAGTTCCCGGTCGTCCAGAAGCTCATGTGGAAGCAGGTCGCAATCAGTCAGTCAATCTGGGAGCGGTCGTGGTGGGTTCCTCATGCAGTTGGGCGTCAGGTTGAGCTCGTCCGTCAGTGCAGGCCCTTGGCGGGAATAGCACTCGACCCTGCTAAACGCCTAACAAGCGGATGACATACTTTGAACGTCTCACGTCTTCTCGGCCGCAGCGGTTGACAGGGCCATGGTCCACAGAGCGGCTCACCACAGGCACCTCGTGCGTTAACCGCACAGGAGAGCAACATGATCTCAACACGGACGCCAAACAGAGGGAAATGGTCGCCGACCAAGGCGGCACGGTACAAGATATCACGGATCAGATCCGATGCTCCACGACTGCGCCGCACGTAAAGCTAGGGATAATACTATGTTCCCCTTTTTTGCGACCTTGTTGTTTGCCGTTTACCAAGAGAAGAAAAGTAAGGGCTTGCGTTTTCGGATCTGTTTACTCATGGCCAAGTGCCGATCTCGAGATCCGAAGCGGAAGGGGTACGATGCTACGTAGGCTATGCTGCGTTTGTCAATTTGATTTCACTGGACAGGCCAAACCCACCTGTTATTTAATCAAAATGGCTCTTTTGTAGCTGCAATTGCAGCCCTCTCTCTCTACCCCGGGTTTTCTTTTCTGTTTCATTTTCAAGCACACTTGGAAGCAACGTCTGATCATATGTTGGAAAAGGCCATCTGCCATCATGCATCCCACTCGGCAGTCCAGGGTACAAGCGCGTGGGACAGTCGCCTGTGGGATAGTGACATGCGGAACAGAGCAACAGTGCTGTTTCTGATGGCAGGGGGAGCTGCCACACACTGTCTGAATCAATTCAAACGCTCCAGCTTGTTTGACTGCATTCTCAACCCTCATGCTTGAAGGCAATACAAGATGCAACTTTGACGAGTATCGAGATGTCGGGGACGTTGTGAGAGTCTCTCGGAGAGACAGTGGTGACGGCATCCAATCGCCGTCCCCGGTAGATCGGCGACCACTGATTGGCAATGAGACACAATGCGCCAAGAGGCTGTCTGAATGTCTTGTATCCTTCTTTCAGAGGGAGAGACAGAGAGAGAAAAGAGCTTTGACCAGTGGGTGTGGCACTCCCGCCGGCGACCGTGTCTCTGGACTTCGCCGAACAGCATTCGTTGCTACCTGCTTTTACTGCCCGCGAGACATGTATAGTACCTGAGTGTATCAGTGTCTATTCGGTGCTATTTTTTTTTTCTCTGTTGTTGCTTGTACTCAGACTCATTGAGAGGTCTCTTTCGCCCTTGGCCGATCGTTTCTAGGATCGGAGCTAATCAAACAGAGCTCAACACGGAGGCACTGTGGCGTCAATGCCAGAAATTCGCCAGGCGACAAGCGAATCGCCCAGACTCGATGAAGATGCTCAGCACTCTTTTGCTCCGTTGCCTGTAATACGGAGAGCTCGTCCGGAGAATGAGTTCCCAGCGTGAAGCACACCTAGGACGGGGCATGTCGACCAAACTGGCAGCGGCCGGGGCATGGTTGAACAGTCGACACTTTTGGTTCGCAGCGATATCCGGATGAAACCCCACTGGGGGGGGCAGAGCGTTAGCGGCACACACTGTGCCCAGGGCGCCACGAAGAAGGGGAAGGGACCAGTTTAGAAGATCTGGCCCGTGGATATAAGCTGTGGTTGCTGATGAGCGAGACCCGGGGATGCGATTCCGGGGCGGATGCTCAGTCCGTTCAAGAGGCGCCTCGGGCCGCGGAAACCAACAAACACGAGAGACAGCCTGCTCAGTCGAGAAGCTGACGGCGGCTTGGGGAGCACGTTTGAGCAGGGCTGGGTTGCTTCTAATTCGAACATTAGCTCGGGCGGGAAGCAGAGCCGAACAGACAGGAACCCCATTTCACCCCGACTTTCATATACCAGTAGTAGTATTTACCCCAACTCTCTCAAGCTTGTTATTTTACCCCAATAGCAAGCTATTTGAGATTGGCCGACGCTCGCAGACTTGCGCATACAGTAGTGGCCGCGTGCCGACTCCGCCACGCAAAAGGGTCGTTTTTTTGCGTTTTTTTGTCTCCTCCTCGGTCCTCTTACTGGCTCCAACTCCGCCATCCAACGACAGTGCAGAAAGACGGTCTGCGCAGCTTGCTGTTGGGCAGGCTGGAGCGAGAGTGCAGGTGATTTTGGAGCAATCACCGTCGGCAGCAGCCCTGCCGCCAATCAGCTGCACTCGCAGGCATATTCATGACATGTACTGGATCAGGCGAGTCAGGCGTCGGAGAACCGCATCGGGAGCTGCAGCTTAGGCTTGGCTGAGAGCGGGTAAAAAACCGCCGTCGAATCATGAATCCTTGCTCCTTGATTTTCGCAGTGGAGGTTGTTATTTGTGTCTCTCAGCGAGCTGCTGTACAATAGGCTGCTGGGTTACATAATCTCAAAGGTTTGCCGAACTCGCCATGATTTACCGCATGCGGAATCCGTACAAGTTCTTTCTGATCGATGGGAGATGATATTGGATCCACGGCCGTGCTACTGCGTATTAGGTTAGTCGGGATCTACGGGCGTAAAGTTGTACATTTTCGACTTAAACCCCCCTCTATTTAAAAACACACAACACGCGCATCGTCTTTCGGGCCGCAAGGTAGCGCTGAGGGAAAGGGAACCGGGGGTGGTAGACTAACAACAACGGGATAACAGACAAAAAAGAGAGACGGCTTTAATCCGAGCAAGATGGATGTCCCTTGGAGTGATACGAGTTACAGGGTGAAAGGAAGAAGAGGGAGTTGCGTCATGCAAAAGAGCTGCAGAGTCCTGCAGACCTGCATACAAGGTTGAAACTCAAATGTACGTTGCAAATGCGGTCAACGCAAGTTAGTTTCTGACCGTTGCAACGCTATTGCATGGTCCCTCGAAATCGCAAAAGTGACAAAGCAAAGAGATACGTACGAGTTGTATGTAAGAAGAAGAAACAGAAGAAAAAAGCAGATGCAGGGATTCTCCTCGATCCGATTTCAACAAGGCAATTGGATGCGAGGGCCGGGGGATGGCATGGGATGGGGGGGCCTTGCGCTGATGGCGTGTTTTTGCCTAAAAGTTGGGCTTGAATCTATGCCACCTCCATGTCCTTGCGTGGCTACACGTTATGCTCTCGGCTCTCGTCACGGCCGGACCAGCCCGTTTTGTGCACTTTCTTTCCGTTTGAGACTTGAAACGGCGGGGTCCAGTCGTAGAAGTCTAGGTTTGCTTTTTAAAATAGTTGTCTTAGTAGTTGCTGGGTAGCTTGCTGATGGCGGTTGAGATGCCATGCCCTGATGCTGGCTGCTGTCCCTTTTCAATTCTGACCATCTTTGTCCGGTTCCTCGCTACAGGGATTCTTTGTAGTAAAAGGAACAAGGTAAACAGATGGCAAAAAGCCCAATTCTTGATGATTACGATGAATGGGGCCGGTGGCCAACAGGGGAAAGGGGGATCTTCCACAAGATCCATCAAAGCCGGCACTTGAGGATACTGTACTGCATGTACGAACGAAGCAATCAACTCCCCTATCCTTTTGTCTTCTTTCTCTTCGTCCACCCCCTTCCCTCTGTGCATCCTGACTCGAAAAGCCGAAACGCAGCATGCATTGAACGGTGATACTGGTCGTCCGCCTTGTGGACCGGGCAAGGTTCACCATGACAAGAGAGAACGAGATGCCGAGGTGCAGCGAGCGATGGCCGCCTCCACCGCAAAGGAGGGTTGTCTGTCGGCATTAGCATGAGCCACTGCGTTTGAGGGCGATTCGAACGACAATGCAGCAGGCCGGAACACGCTGCCGAAGCCTTCTTGGTTGTACGGACATGCACTCCCGTAGGGTTGTAGTAATACCACATACAACTACTCATATACCTGGACAGGCACACGGCTGTTGGAGGCTTCTTTGCCCTAATAGGCAACTTGGAGTAAGAGAAAAGGGCCTGTATTACGACGTACGAGTGCTATGTTTAGGTATTACTTCGTCCGCTTGTGTAATATGCAGCCATGGAGAACACGTGCGAAGCCATTATGAAGGATCCATGGAATGCAGAAATCGGCTGAACAATTACTCGCAACTGGCGAGGCGTAATCGGATGCTCCGTGGCCGTTGTGGAATGGTCCCCGCAAGCCATACATTACATTCAAAAACTCAACTGGCCGGCAATGTCCGCTCAGCCAAACAGCTTCTCGCCAGCTATTAACGCCGGTCCTCCATCGTCTGCTATCGCCGGCCGCTGCTGTTGGGGATCAACAGGGAGTGGAGGAGAACAAGGCGAGGCGAGGGAAAAAAAAGACACATCATCATAGATGCAGCAGTCAAAAGTTTGTTTGTCGGGGGTCCCTTGATTTGATTTGCTTGCACACGTAAAATAGTATGTGAATATGTGGGATTGTGGATGAGGCCCGTTGTGGATGAGGGACAAACTGCATCCCGGCACTTGAAAGGCGAAACAGTCAGGGAGCGATTGAAGCGCTAGGGAAATCGTGCCGAGCGTTTCGCTTAAAGAAGAGTGCCTTAATCTCGAGACTAAAAAAGGGCGTTAATGTACGGCTATTGCTACGTGTACGGAGGCGGGCAGTTGTGGCAGTTCGAAAGTAATCCAACCATCCATAACGGAATCTGACAATTAAAAAACAAATAGAAATAAAGGCATCAAATATCAATATCATATGTTGTGTCTTGCAGCAGCATACGAGCACAGTACCGTACAATACAGTACAGTACAGTCCCATTTGCAGTCCAACAGCCCTGCGAGCGTATCTGTTACCGCTTTGGGTCAAATTGCTGTTATGTCCAGGTCCCTTTTTTTTTTCCCTTTCCATTTCGCCACCCATGCTCGTCCCCTCCAAGCCCAATGCGGCGGCAGAATGGCAGAATGGAGCGCCTAAGAGGAAAAGCAGAGGTAACTTGTAACATGTCATCTGCTGGACACGAGCCATTCCATGGATGTTCCGCTGCCAAGTGCTGCACCAGATCACAACAGGCGTTGATTTTCTCTCCCGCTTTTTTGAACTACGGAGGATTAATGTGGGCTCTGGCGGGCGATCATGCTGGATCAGAATGCTAGCCAGCAAGAGCTAGAGCCAGACTACAATGGTGGCTGTTAGACAGTTAGAGTTTGGATTCTTTCCTATTCGACTACGAGTGCATCATCTACAGTCTTCGGTTGAGCATGAGATGGATTTGATGCATTGCTTCGCTTCCAGGAGGATTGCCATTGGTGCATATCGCCGCGTGTTCCTTCACCAGTCGCATCAACAGCCTCATCGTCATCATCACCATCATCATCATCACCATCATCATCATCACGGCCAAACCCACAACCAGCCCAACCCACCATCCATCAGCACAGTTTCATGCCAGCAACGCAGCCTATGGAAAGGAAATAAAAAATCCGCTCCCCGTCGCTCCGACGTCTCCTCCCCCCCCCCCCCCCCCCCCCCCACAACACCATCCAGACTGTAACTTCATCCAAAATATAGTAAGTAAAAAGAAGAGGCACAGAGCATAAACAAAGGATTCGCACCACGTGCCAACAAAATCCTCCTCGTACCACAAAACCTGCAAGAATACCCACCTCAGCCCTCGAAATTTGCACCTTCTCCAGGCCAAGGTATCAAAGTACCTACCTACCGTAACGGTACGACATTATGTATTATTATACGGCAATATAAAACCAGATGGGGACCCCAATCAAGACCTGTCCGATGAAAATGCAACCCACCCTTCTTGCATCCTTGCACCCTTCTTTTTTTCTTTTTTTGAATGGCTCTTTTTTTTTTTCACGTTGCAGTGTGTCCAGAGATTAACGCTACACCTCTACCTTAATATTGGCGAACCAGGGGTCGTCCCGCAATCCCAGTTCCGACGGCGGCGTCTTGTTGGCGGCTCTTTTTTTTTTTTTTTTGTTACTCCCTCCCACTCATACTCTTACACTCTTAACCGCGCTCTTACTTGCGCTCTCACTTCTTCTGACTCTTTTCTTATACCTGCTCTCCATATTCTGACCTTGTTATACGCCTTGCCCTCGCGTATCTCGCGAAATATACCTCGTAACCAGTATTACTGCCAGGTTCCTCATGATGATCATCTCAGCCTCTCCATAAGGGCCCAGTCTGATCCGTAATAATACATCCATATTACATGTACACACACTTCCCCCTCTCGCAAAACAGTCAAAATGACAATGTCCTCTACGGGAAAACACACACACTCGCGATATCGGGCTAGCCAATGCGACCGCGACTAATACTGTAAGCCGCGTGTTGGATGCGCGGCAGCCTGCATTAGACCTCTTTCTTGTAATATAACTCGCCTATGCACAGTGCCAGGTTTGACGAGCAGCCTAGAAATCAAAAAATCCGTTCTCCACCAGAAAAAGTCGCTGCTACTGTGCTGTGTTTGTTTCAACTTGCGCTCTTTCTTATTAGTGTTACTGTATATCCGTAGTCGTCCGGAAGCTCGAATTTCAGTTCGTCCGTGCTGGGCCGACTTCCCGTCCGGCGGCCCTTCAAACTAATCGCAACAAAGCTGCCGACTAATCAATTCCTATACGGTTAGTATCCTGCTTCGAGCCTACGCATTTGCACATACAACATACAAGACTACTACTACTCTTTTACTATCTTTGATGCAACTTTTTCCTAGCTCGAAACTCAGCAGGGCACAAATTCCTACATCCTAGAGAGGTCCACACAATGATCCTTCTGCCTGTGAATCTCGATTCGGCCAGGCCAAGCCCGTAGATCCTCTTTTCTTCCCTTCCTTTTCATCAAACCATGCGCTGCAATAGCAGCCATGCCATGAGTGAGTTCGAATCACGATCAAGCACATCCTAGCACATGGCCAGATCCTCCATCCCCTTTCTCTCCGTCATCGATCCCACCAGCAGGAACGTTTCGTCCACGCGCGCGCACGTACAACAGCAACCCCCCAACAAGAGCGATATCCGTGCAAGGGGGACTCTCTCGGTCCCGAAATCAATGTCCATTTGAGACTATTCGTCTCACACACAATATGCCATTGGATCCTCTTTCCGTATCCAGCGTCAAAAGAGGACCCTCAGACTCGTTCTCGTGCTCATCCTTTGCATCTGCCGTGGTTACAACCAGCGTTTCGTTCATATACTTCACACTCATCCTCCGTAAAATATTCCCACTGCAACACATAAAAACCTATCCACATGCTACTACATGACTTTGAAAGTAGCTACATTACATAGTACATTGATTCAGTCAATGCCACACCGTTACATCCAATTCATTTAACAACCCACGTCATTGCCACACTATGCGTTCAGCCGCACACCCCCAACCAACATCTTCGAAATAATACCCAAACAGGAAACAAACCAAATGCAAAACTACAAATCGTAAAGTAAAAGATTGCAAAAGGAAATCCAATCCGTTCCCTCAACCAATTAGCCCAAAGAAGGGGGGGAAAGGGAAGAACAACAAAAAGAAAAGAACAAAAGGTGAGTAAACTCACTCGCGGGTAGCATGCGATGCTACCAGCACGCAACATTAGGCTTAATGTATGTACGAGGTACCAGCCTAGAAATCACCACAGAATATCGCATTCACACCAGTTTTTGCTCTTCACACGTTCATGTTTCTCACCCTATCCATGTACCAAATTTAATATAATCCTAGTACTCGTACTCCGTATACTTTCAAGAATCCCACCCAACAGCATGTGGTAGCAGTACCTCCAACCACCGCAAAATGACCCGCTGATACCATGTACTTGCATACTGTTGTATCCCGGCCAAGCCAAGCAAACGGGGGATATTAACCCTCGTACCACCACCAGAATTCCCTCAGACAAAATCCAAGACGTGGAAAAAAAAAAGGCACAACAAACAGCCTGTCCGATCTGTTGTGGAGACGAGTACCTTGTCCTTCCGATCCTAGCCAGTAAGGCTCGGCTCAGCAGGCTGGCCATGTGGCTCGGAGTCTTGGATGCCAACAGTCGCCGACCTCAAAAGCGGCTGGAATGGGGCCTGGAACATGATATAAACTGTGCCTTGTACATGTACTCCAGATCCTCCCAGCTGCCATTATGCCATCAGTACCAGAACCCCCCCTCCCTTCGCGACTGACATTCAGTAATTCTGCCCGATTCAAATATAGCCCTTTGCGTACCATTCAGTATCAACAAGTTCTTTTGTATCTCATAACTCCACTCCGTCGCAAATGCAAATCCACGTACTCCGTAGTCATAGTCAAAAGCCCGAGACATGCCAAGTTCCGTTCCTCCAAAAGCCAAACGAATTACCCAAAATGGACATGAGTGTGTCCTCCAACACCGTGCTCTACAGAAAGAAAGAAGGAGAAAGAAAAGACGTCTCAATAAAGTTGCCGTAAAACTAGGCCCGCCCCGGACGCATTAGAGTAGAAACTCGCTCAACACCTGGACCCTGGTTCGGGCAACCTCGGAGTCCTCGGCCATCTGCTGCATGATCTGAATCATTCGGGCTGCAAACGCCAACATCGTTAGCACATCGGAACCATATATCGTGGGCTTTCGGAAATAAAAGAGATGGGGAAATGTTAACACTAAGGGGAGGGTTCCACTTACTGATGTCTGCCTTGGCTCGAACAAACAATGGGTCTTTCGCCAGCAGCTCCTTGCCCAGGGACTCCTTGGCCGTTTCTCTCAAGACGTTGCCGATACACAGAGCCTCAAGAAAAGCCCTGTGGTTAAAGACCCACCAGACGCGAGCCTCGCTTTCCAGCAAGTTGAACAGCAAGAAGAAGGCCCCGATGGCATCGTGAGCAGCTTCCAGCGTGCCCCGCACATTGACCGGAACGTCCGGGCTTTCCGACGCGTGAACCAACATGAGATTGTGAAAGTAGTTGCTCGTGAGGAACAGCGTTTGACGCACGACTCTCTTGTTTGTTCCGGCCAACGCCGTCAGGCTCTCAGTGTCCCACGAGCGGAAAACGTCCGGAAAGGACCGATACACCGCTCGGAAATCGGCAATCAGCTTTGACTTGTGCCGCGCCGTTGCACAAATGGGCACGTCGAGGGACCGAGGAGAGCATATCGTTTCCTGCACAAGATTCGCGAGTGTCCAAGAGCCCCGGATGTAGGCGTTGTCTGTTGGATCGCTGCTGGCAATGGAGGACCCATGATCGAGCAAGTCATCGACTGACACGTCGGTGTGCGTTGCAGATGGCGGCAGGGACAAAAGTACCGTGAGGAACGTGTCCTGCAGCAAGACCGCTTGCCAGACTTTGCGTCTCTGCTGCTTCTCAAATGGACTAGCATCTGGTGTAACTAAAGAGCGCGCGGTGAGTTTGGTTGTCTAAAAGAGACAGGCAGAGAAACGGGCTAAGAATATGCGAGGAGGGGGTTCATGTTACGCAAGAGGGTAGTATCCGATTCGACGTACCTATGTTGGGGTCACGATGCAAGCCCATGGCATAGGCTTGCCGTATCAAGATTCCAGCAAATGCCCAGCCGTCCGAAGCGTGATTGTCGTTGATGAGAAAATAAGTCATCAGAACCATGGCCTGAATAGACCGAATTGATGCTGTGCTAAGATACGAGAACATCCGGAGAGCTTGGTTGCTAGCTGAAGCATAAAACTCAGCCGTCTGCTTCCTCTCCTGCGCCGTCGTTGACGTGACAAACTGAGTGCCCAAAGCCAGCATGACAAAGATTTGAGCAATAAAGGCAGCATCAACCTGATTCTTCTCTGGGATGCTCATCTGCCAGAAGTGCTCATAGTCGGCATAGAATGTCTGGCGATGAATCATGGGGTACACCGGGTCGACGCATTCGAAATACCGAGAAAGCAGGATGTCAGCCTGGAGCTTCTCGGGAAGCACAGATATGACTTCGGGAAGACCTCCTTCGCAAGTCCAATAATTTGCAAAGGGATGCTCCGAGCCTATCCCAAACACGTTGCTTGCAGTGGCCACGGAATATGGGACATTTGATAGCAAGCCAATGGAGAGAGCTATAGCGCCTCTGGACGGAGTGTCGTCACTACTGTTGGCATTCCTGTCCGCGATGTTGGGGACAGGGAGCTTTCCAAAAGACCCAGGCTTCTTCTTTGGAGGCTTGGTCATGCGGCGGCCATTGGCAGCCGATCTCGACGTCTCCCTGTGTGAGATGGTACGTTAGGATACACTTGCAGCTGTCCATGGATGTGACTGGAACTAGACGTTGGGTTCTTGCAACTCACTCGATTACATTGGCAACGTGTGCATATATGCATTCAGTTTGCCGCTTGATACCTGTCAATTTCAACGTTAACAGAGCTGGTAGGTCGAAGCAGAGAACTCAGATTCGACTTACATGCAAGACAATGTGGTCGACCTCGATCGCACTACCAGGAATATGTCAGTGATATTGCCGTGTAACACACCTAGGTACGCCTTGAATGAGTCAAGAAGCGCGGTGAAAGTGGACCAAGACAGGAAAGCTATATACATAAAAGTAGGGCAAAGAGACAGGTATACAGCAGACTCTACACACGAGATCATGTCGTAGCACAAATAGAGCGGGCAGCCGCAGATGATGATCCTTAAAGGTCGGTTCCACCGCCATTCGTGATGCGGCAGACACCCGAGGTCGGATAGACCAGATGCAACCGTAAGGAAACACGACAAGGAGAGAAAGTTAAAGGCACTTCGTACGGCTAAGTCAAAAAGAAGTAGGAAGGGATGGGGAAAGTTGTCTCGCGTCAAGGGCTGGCTGAGACCAGCCGTGCACAACACGCACCTTTGTCTTTCGTTCAACACACTCGTGGCACGACAGCGTGGGTTTGTTTCGCTTCTGCTTCTTCTTTGGGGGCCCACTCGCATGAGTCTCGGGCATTGTCAAGTCGGCGTCTTGATCATGAGAGACAATGCCGCGATAGTCGAGCCCACCCATGCCTCCGGGGCCGCCGCCGCCGATGACCGGCAGACGAAGGCTCCCGGACACGGATCCGGGCGACGCGATGGAGGTGTTGGACACGGAGCTCGGGGTCAAGGCCGACGAGGCATTGCCACGTCCGACAGCTACGGAACGGCCGTGGTGGCCATTGCCGGCCTGCTGGAAAAGCGACAGATCCATCTGCCGTTGAACTCGTACTAACGTAATCCACGAAGCCGCCCCCTCCCAAGCTCCCGATGATATTCCCGACTGGTGATAAAGCCGCGCGCAGTTCGCCTACCTGGAGCTGAACGGCCCCTTGTTTGTTCTCCTGCTGCTTTGCTGTGTCAGCGGCGGTCAATCCGCGTTGTTCGCGCCACGGTCCCCCGGAAATAACAGGTGGAAAATCGGGTCGTTTGGGGGAGCTGTTTCTGCTTGGGAGGAATTTTCTTTGGTCGTCCCTCTTGGTTGTCGGATTTGAGCACTGGAAATAACATGCTCAAAGGGTGGCGGATAATCAAATAAGAGCGGGAAGGGTGGAGGAGCCGCTGGATTGGATGACGAGATGCAGAAAATGGGGGGGTTAAAGAAATCCCAGCTCAGGCCTCTGTTGCTCAATGTCTCAGCCGCAGCGCACTAACCATTTTGTGAGCTCTGGGATGGGAGGCGAGATGAGGAGGTGGTGAGTATACTGTAGAGTGGTATTGAGTATTTACTAGGCAAGGTCACGTAGTAAGTAAGCCAGGTGTATGGAGTAAAGCGTCGAGGGCTTCCAAGACCTCGAGAGCCTCGTTTCGCTGCAACAGTTAATCCGCATGCGGTCAACGGCCTCTTGTCGCCATTGGGTACCGCGCAGGTACTATCAGGTAGACGATGCAAAGCGTGGCGCCGCTATATTGAGCCGTTGAAAAGAGCCGTACGTAAAATGCTGGTCGTAATCGGCTAAATTAATGCACCGCAGTAATCGCGTCCTTAGTTTCAAATAGTCCTGATGTTAGCAAGGATGTCTTCTTACGAGTAAGACTTGCCCGGGGATCGAGGAACGCGTAGAATATAGGGATATACAGAGGACAGCCTTAGGATACTCTCGAACGACATTGACGAATTGGAGGCAGGTTTACAAACCTAACGCGACCACCAAGTAAATTTTTTATCCCACAAAAGGGCAGCGCCACATTGTAGATATTATTCTATTCAGACAATTGAATGCTTGAATCGCTTGACCGCATGGTATGGGCCGCGACTTGCATTTTCCTGCTGGCTACAGGGTAGCAAATCTCTCATTACTCGCTCTTACTATCTGCCCGTGTCTTGGCAACTTGGCAACTTAGGCGAAGAAAGTTACTGCGCGATTCTGTATGAAAGCTCAGTTCGCCGCCAATTAAGGAAACCTCCGAGCCAATGCATGGCCAAATTCAAAATTGTGGAGGCTAAAGGAGAAAATATCGACACCAGATTGCCCCGGTGTTTTTTTTTGATACGTCGCAGATGCTGTGTATGAGATAGTTGGAGAGAGCTGTAGGATCAAAGCCAAGACCGTTAGTGATCTTAATCGCTATAATAAGCAGGCATCAGGTGCCAAGAGTGGGTCCAAATACCTATTACTCACCAAAATGGCCTCATCGACTCAAGCTTCCTTCAACGATCTTGCCCAAGACAAGCGGTAGAGGACGTTCTTACACGGCAGACAAGCTTAATGACGACTCCCACAACACCTGTCCGACGCACAAGACAGCTTCTCAATCATCTCAGTCACACAATGGCAGGCTACGAGGCGCCGTGGAGGTCTACGTTCCTCTCACACATCCAGCAGGCGAGCAGTCCGATATTCACTCTGAGCACGCTCCATCCTCTCGATGGGAACCAGTTTGTACCCAGAGCCAGGACAGTCGTCTTCCGAGGCATGTGGGCTTCCTTGCCAGACAACCCTAGAAACCCTGCGCTACTCAATCCTGCCGTTTACACCAGCGAATTGCCCGCTATCACGACGGATGTGCGCATGGAAAAGGTTCCCGAGCTTATTGGCAGCAGACAGGAACCCTCCACATCGGCGGAGGCTCAGTCTGCTATTGGAGGCCCCGTTGAAGCCGTCTTTTGGATGGAAAAGGCCAGTACGCAATGGCGGTTCCGCGGCCGTGCTTATGTGATTGGTCCGGATATCGAGTCGGATGCAGCTGCGCCTGTTCGAGCAGCTCTGCAGCCCTGGATGAGGGTTGTGGATGAAGAGCAGAAAGATGCATGGAGCTGGAGCAGAGAGCTTACCGCAAGCTTTGGAAACCTGAGTCCTCTGATGAGGGGCTCATTCCGAAATCCACTGCCTGGCACTCCTCTGACACAGAAGCCTGAGCCAGGCCTGGAGCTGGGACAAGAGGTCAACGATGTAAACGATGAGCTGGCACGGAGGAACTTTCGAGTGTTGGTCATCGTGCCAGAGGAGATTGATCAGATAGAGTTGTCAGACCCAAAGAGAGGTCGGAGATGGAGTCACAAGGCTGAAGTGTCGGAATCTGGGATTTCGTGGAAGACAACGGAGCTGTGGCCGTAAGGCCTAGCTGTCGCTGGAAAGGAGTAGGCGAGCGGTTGACGGCCCATAATTCATCACTTTTAGAGGAATGACCAGAGGACCCCATCCACACAAGGCGTTTGCACTTGATCCAGCCCAATGGCAGATCACAATGGACTACGGAGGCTCTATAAAATCAAACGGCCTCCGCGGACCTTGAACCGGCATACACACGACATCCAGGGCCGGATGTCGGCTCGGCTAGTACGAAACCAGCGTTTGTTTAGGCATAGCACCAATAGGCAGGTCTCAAAGACGCGGTACAGAGTGTGGCTATGGTGACGGTGTACTCCGCAACCGCCGTGCTAGCGACACAGCTATGCCACTCAACTTGATCCTGATCAAACAAGAGCCCTCTGGACCAGACCATTAGCCCTGTGGAGCCAGGCAGAGATGACACCTCGTATAAGCTCCTGAGTAAGGGTGCTGCGCGCCACGCCAGATCGGTCTTGGGAAGAAGCTTGTTTGTCTGCCCGTGCCTTGGCATTCGGCTACGTGATACTAAAAACTGCAGCTTGAACCTGGCAGCTGCATCTGGCAGCAGTCGAGAACGTGGATCACGAAGCGAGCAGGGAGGATGGCGAGGCCAAGCAATAGCCTATCGCCTCGCATCGTATCGAATCGAGTCGCATCGCAGGTAGTGCTTGTCTAAAGCAGGCCATTTTGCGTCTGGCTTGCCGCCACCTGTTTAGCTCAGTTGAACGTGTTACTTTCGGCCGCTTGATGCCATCCTCGCGTCAGAACTGCGCATCGTCTCGCCTATCACTGGCCGGCGCAAAGGGTTTTGCTGTAAGGAGGAGATCAGACGCACAGACGCCCCCTCGGCGGCACATGCTTTCCGTAAATCATTTTTTGCCAACCAAACAAGAGGAAACCGGTGGGTTCATCGGCTAACGGCTTGTCGGGCGAGCCGGGATGGAACTGGGAACTTGTTTCGTCGATGCGGCGCAGCAGAGGCGGTTTCTGCAGCATTTGGCAGTAAGAGCGAGAATAGACAAACAGGCACAGGCCCTTTATCCTCTCTTTCTCTGAAACTCGCTGACGATACGAGGGCGGTAGACTCGGATTTCAGCTCAGCTGATTGGCCTCTGGTCGACGGGGCCGGGTCCAATAAAGGCGCGCAGGACCGGATTCTCGATCGTCGCCATACGAAGCCAAGCCGTTTTAGAGCAGCATAAAACGGTTCCGCCTGTCAAGTCCCTCTTGAGAGTGAGTCTCGCCTCGTCTCGGGTTCTCTTGGGCCCAGTTCTCCTTTGCAACTAATATCTCGTAATGCTCGTACGGCCGAGGGAGAGCGCCGATGGGATGGCCTGCAAAAAAGAGGGCGTTACGGAGGTTGGCCGAAAAGGGAGAGGCGGAACAACTTGATGCCATCATCTGCCACCGGCCAGATTACGGAATATGCAGACTAGATGCACCTTTGGGTTCTTTTGGTTACATGAGCGGAAGCAAGGTAACGAGTCGGTATGGAGAGCATTCGCAGGATGGCGTTGTTTTGAGACCTTGTTGGGTCTCCATTTCAGCTGCAAAACAGCCCCTGCCAACGTGAACTGACTGAGTCGTATCGTATGTACTATGCTCCGTACCCAGAAGGAGATGAGGATACCGTAATCATTTTGCTTGAATCAAATTGACGACTGGGGAAGGATAACATACATGATCTGTCGGCAGTCAAGATGATCAAGTATGGATATTGTTTTAGTAAACAATCAACTAGACGAATGGCTGACGGGCAATCTCATACTACACAGATCACATAAGGTGCTTACAGGCCCATCCCACTGTAGCTTTAGCACCCAGCACAACTACCCAAGGCGGCTAACTGCCTACAAGTCCCCAGTAAAGAACCGCCTAGGCCGCCTGACCTCCGCCCGTAGGCAAAGCCAGTCCCCCCGTAAGCCCTCAAATCAACTCATCCCTCGCTGCGCCTCGTTCCAAGGGAGAGATCAATTGTTTCTGGCCCCGGAATGCCAGTCCCAATACGTGTAATGCTTTGTATGGATGGAGCGTCTGGATTGCTTCTTCAAGTAAGGCGCTCGCTGTGTGCTCGTACGGGCAGCATTAGTCTCGTGTAGTTGTAATGCAGCCTCAATTAAGGCAGAAGGAAGAGGTGTCCCGAAAAAAAAAAACCTCCCTTCTCCCTCTTACTCTTCCTCCCTCTCTCCCCTCCCTCGCCTTCTAAAAGGCTTTCGTACTTGGACGCGCGTCTCCTCGGGTCATACCATCTTTTTACTTCGTATTGTTGCGGAGTAATTCTAGGCTTCTTTATTAAGCTTATTCTTTTTTTTACTCTTGGCATTGCGATTTTGTTTTTTTCTTTGATCGTTGTTTGATCGTTTTAGTTGGTGGTTTGTTTGTAGTACACAAACGGCGTCGATAATTGTTGCCTGGAATCCACAATGCGTGGTCTTAGCAAGGCGGCGACGCTCATATTGGCGCCAACGGCTGTGTTGACGAGGCCTTTGCCGGTATCATCACGAGGTGAGTGTCATGATTAATTGTATTGTGCTGGTGGTGGAGAGAGACAAAATCAGAACAAGAGAGGCAAACGGAGGTGGTTGGGGGTGACTACAGTCTGCTTGCTTGCTTGCCCTGAATTGGGGGGTACTCTATCCGGACAGAATGCAAACAAACATTCATCGATGCCTATTACTGACTCGCTTCTTTCTTGCCACTTGAACAGGTGTCCCGACTGAATCTGCATTTTCCGTTGCTGTTGCTGTAGACACCAGCGGCTCTAGAGACGCAAAGACGGTCGATCAAACTCTGGTAAGAAGAATCAACCTGTTCCAGTATCATGACAATGAGCTCACATCATCTCCACGGGAAAAGGTATTCAATCTTGACATCCAAGAGTCCTCAGAGGCTTGCAGTCAAGCTAAAGTGAGGATCGACGGATTCCTCCTATCTCAGGATGACAACGGCACCGGCCAAGGGACTTTCGCCTCCCAGGACGGGCACACCGTCACCGCGAGCTGGAATTTTACTTGCAAGGAGCACGTACGACGAGTGCCTTGGGACCAGGATCTGACGGTGACAATCATCTCACTGGACGGAGAGACTATCCCCGAGACATCCTTTGTGACGAGCTTTAGACAACGAACTCCCGTCAAGGTCTACGATGTGGGAGGAGATTCACTCGTCTACACAACCGAGGGTCATGCGCCTACCCGGCTCGATAAGGAGAGGGTGCTAGAGAGGATTAAGACGCTCACCGGCTTATCAGACGTCGATGACGAAACCAAGGCGGACATTGGAGACATCATTTCGATAGAGACCCAGATGCGCGAACTCGGAGAACACATCAAGACCAAGCAGCGAAAAGTATTGGACAAGCTGGGCATCAAGCCTTCGACACCGGCGTTCAACTTTCAGACATTTTACCAGACGGCCAAACTTGCATCTTCTACCCTCCGGGGCACCATGGAGCACTGGTTGGGCTCTGTGCTCGGTATCCCTGTCGAGTGTGATCATCATCATCGTCATCATGATCACGAGCATGGCACCCATCATCGACGCCCTAACCACCCTCACCCTAACCATAAGGAGACCGATGTCGTGGTGAGCATGCAAGTAGACGGAGAGGGAGGACAGCGCTTCTTCTACTACCGAGACCGAGACGATACCGACTCCAGCTCTACACGACTGACACCAACTCACTCTCGAAGGGTAAGTAGTCTTGATTTTCTCGCAAACCTACAAATCCCATGAGCCCCTTTTTTGTGCAGATTAAACGCGCATATGATGGAATCTAACCATTGGCTAAACAGAACGTCACCTACTTTCCCCTCTTCGCAATCATCTTCACCTTCCACCTGGCCCTCTTCTTTGCCCTCCGATCCATCCGTCAACGAATGCACAGCCGCCGCGCGAGAAACCACAGCAACCGTGTGTGCCGCCGTGAAACTCGCACCCAGCGCCGCATCGAAAGACAAGCTCGCCGAAACGGCGCCCACCAACGTACCACGAATTTCTTTTGTAGCATCCGAGACCTCTTCCAGACCAAGCGCATCGAGCTCAATGAAAAGACAGCCATGCTGATCCACGAGGAGGATACCTCGATGGAGGACGAGCTCGCGTCTTTCCAAGAGGCAGCCTCCGTGATTAGCGACCTGGTTGCTGTTCAAGAGACGGTGACCAGAGAGGAGTCGCAGCCGCCTAGGTTCACCGCAGACGTGAGCCCACCGGCCTACGACGAGGTGGAAGAGAGATATGACGAAAAGAGGCCTGGCGGCTGTTGATTCACCCCTACCACCCCCTTCTTTTTCTGGATACGAGTGCGTTTGGGATGGGGATATGAATCCGAAAAGGAGCCCCTACAGTAATAATCATAATCATGTTGAGAAAAAAAAAAGCGCAACGAAAAACAAACAAACAATAATATCCACACTGGTTAGAATGGCGTTATACACTACCTGGAGGACAGGATCAAACAAGCATGCAATAGATGACGCGGTTTCTCAAGTTAATTTTATCAAAATACACCTAATTGACGCTGTTTCTACATGTTTTTAAACACCCATGCAAAGTGAGACAAACACAAGACAAATAAATATATCATTGACACCATTGTATGTCAAGGGGAAGAAAAGAATGCCGTCTATCCGAGTATAAACCTCTCAAAGTTCGCCCCTATCGTGGCAACCCCAGTCTCAAGATCCCACCCCTTAATCTCGCACACCAGCCGATACATGTCCTCGAGCAGCGCCTCCGCCTCGCCGCCCGCCACGTGCAAGTCGCTCTCCACGAGGATCCTGTCGTCCGGCACGGCGCGCACGACGGCGGCGAGCTTGGTCTTGCCGCCGTCGGTGCTCATGTTGACGGCCGTGGAGAAGGAGACGAAGACGGTGGAGGGGACGGCCGGGTGGAACCACTGCTTGAGCATGTCGGCGCTGCCGCTGTACGAGTGGAGGCATATCCGCGGCGGGAAGGGCTTGCCGCCGGCTTTCTTCTTCTTCTTAGTTCTGTCTTCTGTTGTGGGCATGTTTTTGGATGATGAGGAGTCGGAGTCGTCTGAAGAGGAACTTTCTTCGGCGCCAGGGGCAATTCTTTTCTTCTCTCTGCGGGATAGGACTTTTTTCTCGTGGCCTTTCCAGCAGGCTGCTATTGTGTCGTATAAGACGCCGTGAGCCTGTACACCGTGTACGCTGACGGCTCTGCCCATTTCTCCTGCTAGTCGTAGTTGAGCTTGCATGATGGCTTGCTGGTGCTGCATTTGCACTCGAAAGGGGCTGAGGAGACGACCTTCGCGTCCACCGGGGGTGAGGCTCTCATCTCGAGAGGAATCGTCGTCGGGGAGTCGCTGTTGGGGGAGACGAAAGCCCTTGTCGAGGCCGATTTCTCCAACGAGCGCGAGGGGAAACGAGGTGAGGTATTGGCGAGTGGATGATATGAGTGCTGATAAGGGGGTTGGAGTAGGGAGAGAAGAGAGGAAGGATTGATCTTGGGGGGTGGGAGAGAGAACGGCCTTGTAGTGAGCGATTTTGGCATCTTGTTCAGTAGATTTATTGGGATCCTCGGTGTTGTGGGGGTTGTATGTGGGATTGGGGATGGAGTCGTCGTATAGCTGGTAGGAGAACCAGGGATGCCATCCAAACGCTGGAACGACTTTGCATCCTTTACGGGGTGAAACGGTATCCGAGGATGATGTTGTGATTGATGCTGAATCTGTGATGCCGTGCTCGGATGCTACATCCGCGACGAGTTGCTGGTCTTGGGAGCGAGTGGCCATGATGGTGAGGACGCGGGTGTTGAGAGTGGCGAGAGAGGCGATGGAGGACATTGTGTCGGTTGGATGGCAGTGGGCGTCAAAAGCACCGAGATGCCACGGAAAGGGATCATTGTAGACTGGTTTGTCTGGTGGAGGTTGGGAGTTGGCGTCATCAGAAGGTTGGTTTTGGTGGTGTTGACACATGGTTGTGGGTTTTGATATCAACAGACGTGTCAATGAGGTCTGATGGATGAGATTTGCTGGGGGGTTTTGAATCGTGAATGCAAACAAGGCTCAGGCTGTTTAATCAATGATGCTGTTTGACTTGTGGCTATGTCTCAATAGGTGACTGATTTAGTTATTGAGTTTGATTGGTTGGTTGTCTGGCTGAGCTGAGACAACAGCAGCAGAGCCGAGATGCATGCGTTGAATGTATCACTGAATCATCAAACCGTGAACCAACTTTCCAGATGGTGAAAATGGGTGGAGAAAGCGGGGATTCGCAGCCGTCTGCCGGCGATCCACTCTGGCCGCAAATCTCATCTAATCTCATCTCATCTCATCGTTCTCAGCCTTGTCTCGTCTCGTCTTTCTTGTCACAGCTGTTATCGGATATATAAGCCAGCGGTGATGAGGCAGCGAAACATTCTCGCAGAATCTCACATCATCATCCCCGAGTTCATGAAGAATCCCCGACTTTCACATATGCCTCGTTAGCTGCTTATCCGCCGAAAAGCTTCGCACCCTCCCCTGAATAAGCACCAAGCAGCCACGCCGCGGCATGGCGCGCTTCCCCGCACTGGCGATTGAATCATGATAGATTAAGAGGTTGGATGCCTGTACCTTGTTAGCTTGTTGCAGGTGCCTCATGCATCTCCTCGGTGCTGTGCTGCCTGGAGTAACATTCTCTGTATTGCTCTGTAATAATCATTTGATGTTTAAGGCACCTACCTATATAGGCTTCTATCCACTCTATAAAATAAAAATAAAATACCCCGGTTCCGGCCAGTAGCATCCGGCCATACACAGACAAAGGAAAAAAAAAAACATGTGATACTCGAGGGCCCTTAGATACCTTAGAATAACCAAATCAGTAATCCATCCGCACGCAAATCTTGCTCCCGGATTCCCAAAAAGCACACCTTGACGCCTCCTCCCACACCCCAAAAAACCATCCGCCACCAATTCATTCATCTAACCGAGTCTCTTCTGTTCTGGACCTTGTTATGTTTTAAAACTAGATTCCCTGCTCCTCTTATCGCTGACCCACTACTTAATTGCTCCGTGCCGCCCTGTCGTTCATCGTCTCCATTCCTTGTCTCGTTCCAACGTTCCGTCGCCCCCAAACTTTGTGTTGCTTCGTGCGACTATACAATCCGCCTCGATTGGGATTTGTTCCTTTCTTGTCTCGTTTCTTGTCTCGTCTTGAGCCTCTTTTCTCCAATTTGATAAAATATACATCTATTTCTGGCTTACACAATTATTTTTGTACTGGCGTGTCGCGTGCTTCTTCGATACCAAAGCTGTTCACAGCAACCACCAATTCTCTCCACTCACTTACTTACTTACTACTCTACTACAACTCATCCTTCTTCTTCAACACCATTATTATCATCGCCATCAACAACAACACAACCAGCATCTATCAGCCACAAGCCATGTCATGATCCATCACCGTCTTTGCTTGAAATCTCGCATCCCCATGGCGCTCCTCAATCCCATCTACGCCTTTATCGTGCCCTTCCTCATCGTCACCACCATCCCTCTGGCCATCTTCGCCGGCATCACCACCACATTCGCCTTCTCCGTCCTCATCTTCCGCGTCTTCGTCGTCTACCTCGACATTGCGCTCTCCCTGGTCTCGCAATCCCTGTCCCATCTCACCGAGAGCGCCACAAAGGCTCACCTGCGACCTCCGAGAACTCCGTCATCCTCGTCGTCTGTTCACAGCCGCAACAACAGCGTCAGCCCTTCGGCCTCGTCCACCTTGCTCAAGAGGCATCGCCGCCGCAGACCCAGTTCCTCCGTCTACTCGGCCGGGTCCGTGACTCCCGCCAGCGACATTGGGCTGGGCCTCATTCCCAGCGTCGGCGCCGAGAGAGATTTTGAAGGTGTCGGTGGATGGCGGCTGGGCGACGACGACGAAGCTTGGACAACCATCAACTCGCGCTCCGAGCTTCCCGACCGCTTGCATGATCGCAATCACCGGCGCACCTTGTCTGGAGGCCCAACCGGCGCGGCAGACGGCGGGTTTCTCATGATGAAAGGCCGCGCTCGTAGCCCCGAGAAGAGGATGGTGTCAACGGCCTCTCCCAACAGTTCAAAGGCTCGGGCGCCCTCAGCTCCGCGCTTGGGAATGCCTGGCTCCAACCAGACTGACAGCTACTTTCCCATGACGATGTCTTCCAAAGCAATCAAGAGGAACCTTCTTTAACCGCGGGCTCTGGTGCGGCACATGTTGCATTACGGTGAATATTAACGATATGACGAATATGGGAAACAGAAAAATTGGACTACAAAATTGGCCCCGGGATCAAAGGTCCAAGGTTTCATGACGGCAGATGAGTAGCCTGTCATTTATTTACTTACTGGCGGAAATTTTGGGTCAAGTGCGTTCTCATGAAAGGTATGGACGGATTGAACGGATATCCGATTTGGCGTTTACAGGCTGGGAGGGACATGGCATGCGATTGATTTTATAAATTATACTCTGGAATTTGACTTGGTTCTGCTCTTTTATTTTCTCTTCCTAGTATTCATTTAGCCATGATGAGACTAATATGATGAGATTAATACATGTTTGATCTTCAATATGTGACAATACTCGATCCTGCATGTTGTATCACACCTCCAATGATGATGTCTCGTGTAACAAGTATTCAACGCCGTGTCCAAACTAGCACTTTTCCAACTCCTCATAAACAATGAATGGTATCTTTCCCAAATCCCAAAATTCCAAAAACCAAAAGCCTTCCCCCCCAATCACAGCGTCTGCCAAAAGTAATTGGCGTAAAAGTAGCGCGAAAACTTCTTATCCATGTTCACCACATGCACATCGCCCTTCCTATCATTCCGCACCACCGCACGCGCCCACTCCCCATCCTTTTCATCACGCTCAATCTCAATACCTAGGCTGCGATACACCTTGAGCCGCAGCAGCACCTCGTCATCAACGGGATCCCGCCTGCGGCCCTCCTCGGAGCCGTCGACGCCCTGGAGCTCCAGCTCTTGCAGCCGGGCCGCCAGGTCGGCGGCCTGCTGGGCCAGGCGCTCGGCCTCCATCTCGGCGTCGGAGGCGGCCTTTGCGACGCGGAACTTGTGCGTGTCGAGGCGCGCAATGGTGGATGCGTGGTCAGCGGACGAGTGGGAGGAGAGGAGCTCGTCGTGCTGGGCGTTGATGGTGTTGAGCTGGCGCGCGAGGCGCTTGAGGGTTGAGTCGGAGTCGCGGACGTGCAGCTCGCGGGCTTGTTGGAGCGTGGAGAGGGACTCGGCGATGCGGCTGACGGCGAGCTTGTCGGGCTGGATGTTGAAGTTGTTGATTGTGTGGTGGATGAGCTGCGGGCGAGTCGGTCAGTCAGTTTTGGGGCCATTGTTTTTGTGTTTCTGGGCAAATAGCATACAGTGGCTGGATCCTCAGCGAGAAGCATTGTGGCGGCTGTTTAATGGATTGGAAGCTATTGCTTTTTGTCTGTAGCTTGTGATTTGGTTGCGTGTGGTAGCAGAAGATTAAGCTAGTTGGTCAATCAGCGAGCGAATGTTGCAATGTCCAAATGCTAAATAACGAAGCTCTCTAAAATCTGTCGCCCGGGACGACCAACCCCCCGTGCCGTCAATAAGCCACACCCCTCCGAACCCAAAACGTCATTCCCAGCTCAGCCACACCCGCAACGCTTCCCCCACCAGCCACACTCCTCGGCACAAGCTTGTTTTACCATGAGGCCAAGCCAAGCCGCATTGGCAAACTCACGAGACCAAGCAATCATCCTTACGCCAGCAACTTCGATCAGCTCTTCTTCTAGCTGTCTCTCCCCTGCTGCTCTATATCTCTCTCGTCTTTTCTCGCCCCCTCCCTCGATTCCCCCCCCTTCTCTCGGCTTCCTACTCAGAGGGACATTGATTCTCTTCTTCTCTTGCGCCACCCTCTCCCTCTCGATCGTTTGACGCTTTTCCTTGAGCTAAAACCGACTCTTTTGCGCCGTCGTCATACAAAAGTTCCGTCGAAAACCGCCAAAAATGGTCACAGAACTCCCCTGTAAGATGGACGCTCCTGTCTCTTTCCTCGGCGCAAACAGCTGCAATTCCAGCCTCTTTGTCCAAAACCATCGCGCAGAAAAGCCCATCACAGAATTACAGCATAGCTAACTAATCGCCTCTTTCAAAATGACAGACGCCCTCGACGCAGAGACGTTCGTCCCTCCTCTCCGATTTCGCATCGTACGATACATCCCCAGCTAAAACTAACACCGTATAACCACACAGGCCTCTGAACCCTTCAGAGCTAAGCGTCTTGCGCGCCCAGTTCGAGAAAGAAGGCGAAATGGTCGGCGTCCAGACCAAATTCAACTACGCCTGGGTTCGCAATCCTCCCCCCTCTCAAACAAAGAAATGAAGACTCACAAGAAGCGACCTTACCAAATAAACAGGGCCTCGTCAAGTCAAACAACCGCAACGACCAGCAACTCGGCGTCCGCCTCCTCTCCGACATCTTCCGCGTCTCCCCCGAGCGCCGCCGCGAGTGCCTCTACTACCTCGCCCTCGGCAACTACAAGCTCGGCAACTACGGCGAGGCCCGCCGCTACAACGACCTCTTACTCGAGAAGGAGCCCGCCAATCTCCAGGCCACCGACCTGCGCCAGCTCATCGACGACAAGGTCGCCAAGGAAGGCCTGCTGGGCGTCGCCATTGTTAGCGGCATTGGCATCGCTGCTGGTGTCGTGGGAGCGTTTTTGCTGAGGAATGCGAAGAGGAGGTGAAATTCGCCTTGATATATGATACGATACGGGGGCATGAAATTCGAAGTATAAACGATATATGAAGAAAGAAAAGAAAACAAGCAAGAAAAAAAATGGTAAAACGAAACGAAAAAGCAGGAGGTTTAATGAAGGGGAATTACTGAGACCCAAACTAAACTACTGGTCCAGTAGGACCAAGGAGCCGTCAAACAAGAAAGAAAAAAAATCACACACCCTTCTCTCATTTTTATGCTTCTGAAAGCTCATACTTGCATCTTGTCAATGGGCTATCAACGAGCATGATGGAGACACCTCTTCTCTATCGTATGCGATGGAAAACGGCACTGAGGCGATCACTTATACCCTGCGCCACTGCCATAATGAGGATGTGCCATGTCAGCATGAGTTGTGCCGCGCAACATTGAGCACAGGCAAGCAAGTTCATGGCCCAGTTCATGGCATCTACATGCTCAAGGAATGCTTGGTTTTCAATGGATATACAAATTAAGTGTACGATATTATATACTATACGATAGCTGCAGCATCCAGCCAGGCGGTCGAATCAGAGTCTAGCATTGTCATTTCGATTCACGCGCGCGTCATGTTCAAGTTCCAAGTTTTGAAAAAAAGGAAAATAGAGACTGTAAAATCAAACTAGCTAGGAAATACGACAAACAAGCCTAGACATACCATCATGTGTTGAGACGTCAATCACACGACTTAAAATACAACAGTTGCGGTTTCAACCCTCCTCCAGCCATCCATTTGCTCCAGTCAAATTCAAATCCGCAGTCCGCTGCTCCATCCAGACAGGTAACAAAGAGCTATCCGAAAGGCGTGCTGAGAGAAAAAGACCGGAGACGCAGGGTATTTTCGGCCATATCTTGCCCGACATAGATTTCAAAGGAAAGCGTAAGTGTGACGATCGTGTAGGGAATGAATAATGAGTGACTTTTCGCACGGCGGCCCCAACCCTCCCAACAACTGCTCCAAAGGCAGGGGACAACCTGATATTAACTGGCGACTTTCTCTCCCTCCAGAGCATCGCCCTGCCTGCCCAGTCCCATAAGACCCTGGCAAGTAATTAGACGCTGCCCTCGAGAGGAGCAGCCTCAGCCCTATCCGGCCGCGACCACCATACCAAGTCAAAGTTTTGCAATGCTTCATAGTCCTGCACTTTCTCCATGCTGCATGACCAGTTTTCATAACAAAGTTCTTTCCTTGCCCACCCTTCTGGAAGACAAAACTTTTCTTGGCGGCGATTATACGAGTTTATGATTAAAATAAAGTGACGAGAAGGCGGCGACAAAAAAAAAAAACAAAGAATCGAAAAGAGAAAAGGAAAGGCGTCGAGCAGATATTGTATGGACATCATGGATATTCTGATATTGATCGTGCAGGAAAGCAATTCGCAACTCGAGATCGATCGGGCGGCGGGACCACTGGCCGTTTATCGCAGTGAGAATCCCTTTCGCTTGCCTTCCTTCTCTATCGGCCGCCCGCTCTCGACGCGCTGCTTCTTGTCCTCGAGCTCCAGGCGCTGGCGATCGAGTTGCTCCTTCATCTCCCGGTGGCGAGCGTAGAGCTCCTCCTCTGACTGCTTGAGCTTGCTCTCCTTCTCCGCCACCTTCTGCTGGAAGACCATCTTCATCTCGGCCTCCATCTTGGCAAGCTTCTGCTCGTGCAGGGCACGCTCCTCCTCTTGCTTGACAGCAGGGTTGACCTCCTTGAAGACACTAGGATCTTGTGAAACACCCATAGCAAGCAGCTTGTCGGTTCTGTAGTTCTCATACAGGTTGTTGTTGGTGTGCTCCTTGAGCTCCTCCATGTGTGTGCGGATGAGCATCTGTCGGAGCTTGACAAAGTCGCAGTGCTCCTCGTTGTCGACCTCAATGATACCCCATGGGTAATCACGTCCGCGGACCTTGCGGCCGTCGGCGGTCTTGATCTCGTTGGTGGCGCCAACAACGGCGAAAGGAACCTTGGACATGATCTCGTTGTTCTCGGCAATCGTCTCCTCGTCGTCGAGCTCATATCGGGGACCCTCGAAAATCTGGATGCCGTGGTGCTTGATGTCGGCCAAGATCTAGAAACGTACTAGTTAGCAAACCCAATCATCATGAACGCTGAAAAGGGGAGTGACTCACTCGGGCTTTGAAGCTGACAATTTCCTCGTCCGTCAGGGTGTCGGACTTGGCAATGACAGGGATCAAGTTGACCTTGGTGTGGAGACGTCGCATAACCTCAATGTCCAGAGGCTTGAGGGAGTGGCCAGTGGGCTGGATGAAGAAGACACATGCGTGAATTCGGTTGTCAACAATGTTCATTCGGTTGACCTTGTTCTCAGCATCGAGGTAGGCATCGAAACGCTGCTCAATGTTGTCGACAATGGGGCGCCAAGACTCATCGTTGTTAACGAAGTCGCCAAAGCCGGGGGTGTCAACAACGGTCAGGCGCAGACGAACACCGGCCTCCTCAATATCAGCGCTGATGGACTGGATGGTGACAGTCTTGGGAATAATATCCAGGCTAGGCGCCTTGCGCTCCTTGGGAGGGTACAAGGAGGTGTTGAACAGAGTGTTGACCAGAGTCGACTTGCCCAGACCGGACTCGCCAACAACCATCACATTGAAGTTGAAGCCCTTTCGCACACTCTTACGGTGCCACTGGTTGGGAAGGTTGGCAAATCCAACATAGCCGGTCAGCTTTCGTCGAACAATGTTCTTGTTGTCAGAAACAGCAGCTGGGGAGGCGGCTATTGTACTCGTTAGAAACATTGCTGTGTTGGTAGATAGGACAATGGGACGCAGAACGTACCAGGAGGTGGCGAGGCAACGCCCTGTGGTGAATCGGCACCGTTGGAAGCTAAACAGACAAATGTTAGCCTGTGGTTTTGAATACTTTGTGATATTAACTATGCATGGTGACGAGGCAGGAGGGCAGGGCATAGGCTTCTGACTGGAGAAATCAGATTCTTGGCTTCCAACCGAGGTCGGCGGGTTTGTATTCCAAGAGCATGATCTCGTCGACTGGTCAGAGCTTGGGTCGCCATCCGATCCCACGGCAGGCTGTATAGGGCTTGAGTATAGCTCATCGTAAGACATGGGGCTCCATGGTCCAATTCTGGGTGGTTCGTCGACCTCCAGCATGCTGCGGTAGCGGCGAATGGCTGCTGGGACCAAAGTAGGGACCGAGAACTGGACGGAAGCATTTTGCACGGTTGACAAACCGCTCAGTCGCTTCGTTGCTTGAGCCTGAGCTGCAACTTGCTCCAAAGCAATCATCGCCGGCGTCAGAGCGGTCTTGTCGAGCTGGAGGCTGCGGGCCCGCGATTTGACATGGTGTACCAGATCGAAAGTCATGTCGGGTTACGAAAGTCGGATATAAGGAATTTGTACTTGAAGCAACGGAAATGTTGATTTTGCCCAAAAAAGCGACCCAAGAAACAGTAGATGGCGAGCAACGAATGTGGTTACGGAGAGCAAGACGCGAAATTTGGTGGTGTGGGAAAAAGGAGGCGCCAATGCTTTTGTGTTGCCCAAGCCCGCTGCCGTGGTGAAGTGCCTCGTGGCACGTCCAGAATGCCTCCTGCCCCCTCCTCGTACTCGTGGACGGGACACGCATGGCCATGCAGAGCTCAAAGAAAGAGAGATTCTTACCCATATTGATGTATAAGGAGCGGCCGAAGGAAGTTTAATAAAGAATGGTAAGAAGGCACGAGAGTCTGCGCGATTGGTTAGCTGTTGAGGCCGTCTCAGGGAGGAGTAGCGCAGCCAAACGGCCAGGAGCCACGAGTGGACAGCAGCTTCGTTGGCCTTCAGGGCCCGGGGCAACTTGCGCGCGTAGCAGATGGAAGCCTTCGAAAGAAGCAGATGCTGCTCGCGCCTGTCTGCTCCGGGGCTGCTCTGAAGGCATCGCGGGCGTTTGTGCACGGGGAATTCGACTCGAACAATGGGAGCGACCTACCAAGGAGAAATGCGCTGAGACCCTAGCAGATAACGACGCGTGTCAATGGGTTCGAAGAAATAGGATTAAGAGGCAGAAACGACCGCGGTGAATTGAAGGACAAATGTCAAGATGCTCAACCAGTCGAAGAGGAAGTAGCAATGACGGAGAGTGAAGAAGTGAAGTGCAATGAGGCCAGTTGAGGACGAGCAGGAGGAAGATAATTTCGGGGGTGATGACGGGGGGGAATTTGTGCTGGTGCTGGTGCTTGGTGCAGCAGCTGCTGGCCAGCGTCCCAGGGGCCCGACTCCACAGGCTGGTGAGTACCGGTACGGGGATGAGTGCAGTGGCTGCCGCGGAGCTCGGGGTATGAGTACCTCTGCTCGTACCACGGCTCCCAGCTGCTACTGTATCTACTGCCAAGGTAATCCCGTTACCTGGTGCTAATAAGGTACGCTACAGACCTGTGCCATTACATTACAGTAGCTCGTCCAGCAGTGCTCGCTTCAATCTGGCGTGGTCAATATGGCAAAAGGGGGTGCATTAGCAAGCTAGGCCGCGACGGGGCTAGTCTTCCAGGGGACCGATGGCCTGGCGCGGTGGTCATTTAGCAGAGGTGCAGGGCATGGCTCGCCGTTGGGGGCCGCTGATTGGCCGCAGGCTTTGATTCCGCACGAGCCACAACACACCCGCTGTGTGGCGCTGCGGCGGATCGGGCTTGGTCCAGGTACCTTTTCTGGAGTAGAGACGCGATGCTGTTCACAGTTTGAGGGGCCCCCAATTGAGCGGGTTTGTTTGTACCTTGGCTTGAACCCTGATCTGGCTGAAGAAGAAACGCCATGCAGGTGGTGGATCGAGGCTTGGGCGGGATCAAGAGCAAGAGTCTGGCAAATTTGAGGCCTTGTCTCGTCTCGGAATGCTCGAGTCAAATCTTAAGGGTCGCATGACGGACGGCTTGGGTATCTCGCTGATACGACAGGCATGGCACGAGTGCGAGTACTGGTACACCCGCTCCCGGTAGCACCTAATGTATATCACTTAATTTCAGGAGCTCCAGGCGTTTCTTTTCCAGATTGCTCCGCACGCTCGCTACTCCTTTGTTCGTATTACTGCCGGCCACCTGTACATGTACTCGCAGTAACAGTACCAGTACCAACGCCGCATGCCGTCTTCATGCTCATAAGATACCTGCTATTTATAGGCTGGCAAAAGCTCATCTTCATTTGCTTGCCTGTTTGCGCTGCACAAGGGACTCGACACAAACGGGTATGAGTACAGACATGGCGGGACGGAAAGCTGGCAAGCTGGATCAGACACTCCCGAAGGCTTCTGTGGACTGAGACAGTCTCCCTGCTTGCTTGTGCCTTCTTTGGCACCGTAGACGGCCAGAGAAATTAACACGCGTGTTTGACTGGATGAGAGAAAACAATGGTAGTGCCACCAGCAGAAAAGTAGCACCGCCGTGAAACAACCAAAACGGCTTCGCTGGCAAACCAGAAACCTGCCGGGAACTGCCTACATCCTTGCAGAGGCTAATATCCGACGCGGTGCCTAATAACACGAAGGGGCAGAGTGTTGCCTATTTCGGAATTGTAGGGTAAATCGTTCCATCAGCCGTGATGAGCCAGTATAACCCGGCAAGTACGAGGATCGTTGATGTCTTGGGAATAGAAAGAAGCTGGGGAGTGTTTCTACTGAGATCTGTATTTAAGATTGATTATCTATGGATTCTGCAGCACCTGAATCTGCTGTCGAGAGCCCACTTCAGCACTGATCCACAAAGTGGCCTTGTTCACAAATGTACGGCGTATTGTACATACATGGACTAACACCCAAAGTTGCAGCCCTTTGGATACACAGACGGATCTCGTATATTGGCCATACATACATTGATAAACCATTAGTCTTACCCATAACTGAGGGAGTGCATATATCACCTGCAGATATACGATAGCCATACAGAAAATGTTTCGTCGGGTGCTGCTAATTCGACTCTTTGTGGTGAGACACACACGATCGACATGCAATATCAGAGCCGCCCCACACGACAAACAATGCCAACCCCCACATGATGAACAAGACAAAGTGGTTCTTATTGATGGCTCTGCTGACTGTACTCGGATGGAGCAACATGTGGATTATCTGTGAGACGAGCTGTAATAAACATTCCTTCAAGCTTAGTATATAAGCGCACTGCCTCCCAACTACCTTCATCTGACTCCATGTTCGTCGTTCTGCTTAGACACAGTCCTATAAAAAGCAGACCAACACTTGGTATTCTCGCCCCTTCTCAGAACTGGTAGGTGGCATCACAGGAACATTCTCGACATGGCCGTGGCCCATCATGACTGGCCGGCGATGCGGAGGGGCGACATCGTATTCCAGCCTCCCATCTGCAGCTAAACGTCAGCGAGACCAACCACCGCAACATGATGGGCTAGCCTGACGTTCTGCATTCATTCCGTCCATTGCAACAATACCGCAAAGTCCGCCCTTCGACGGAAGCCTGCGTTTGGTCGTATGTGTACCATCTACTGCCATGGAAATCTCTTCGCAACATACATTCACATACGAGGTAAATGCATATACGGAGCTCTGTGTGGGTCTGGATCAGGGCACACAGACGCTGAGGCATGGGCTCCCAAGTTCGCGATAGCCGAGCCTTGTCTGCCCTCTCCCCAGCTTGTGATAGACTTTGGAGCCGCACGATCCGTTCCGAGGGTCCTCGGTATCATGGCAAGGCCTGTTGTGCGTTTATGTAATGGTGAGTGCCAGTTTTAGTCTATTCACGTATGTGCAGTCCAGAGTCTCCCGCCACTCAGCCCTATCTGGCCGATACCGAGATACTGCTTTTGTATATACGAGTTGAAGTAAGTAATCATACCATAGAAATAGGCTCCCGAAATATTTTTACAGATACCATGCCCTCCCGGAAACCCCCCAAAGCATGTCCATTTTCCTTGTCCGTCATCATCCTCTTAAGCCGAAGCGGCAGAAACCGCAGCTTGCTGGCTGGCGAAGAATTTTTTAGATTCGGCACATCTCTCATTCTTGCATGCGGGACACCGCAGGCCCATCTGCAGGGAGCACGCCTGGCCGGAAGTAAGGTGAGACTTTGCGAGGTCGGCGAGCGCCTGGATGAACACGGGGCTGCCGTTAAGGCTGTCCACCCGCTTGACAGTATCTGTGTGCCCACTCTCACCAATGACTTCAATGTCAAGCTCGTACAGCGTTTCAATGTGATCAGAGGTGAATGCGATTGGAATAAGAACCAAGTCTTTTTGGCCTTTTTCGATATAGTTCTCGACTGTGTGAGAAGTCTGAGGACCCAGCCAAGCCTTCGGACCGACCTGCGACTGCCAGCATAATCTGTAAGGGTTAGAGAACTTCAGCCGCTCCATCACGGCTTGAACGGTGGCAGCAACTTCGCCCGGGTACGGATCGCCTGTTTGATCGGTAAGCTTGAGAAGGATGACGAAAAAGGGACGCAAGCATAAGTCATACCTCTGTTGACCACATCCATGGGCAAACTGTGAGCTGAAAAGAGGAGAACGGCATTGCGCCTCCGCTCCTCGGGGTATTCGGCTAGCTTTGCCTCAATGTTCTGAGCAAAAGCTTCCACAAGGCCGGGATGAGTGGGCCATCGGTCAATGACACTCCAGGTAATGGTACCATTGCCAGTTTCCGACGCCTTCTTGCCCTCCAGTCTATGCCGCCACTTCCATAGCTCGTTAAGACTGCTACCAGTTGTGGAACAAGAGTACTGCGGATATTGGGTGAATGCGACCGCTCTGCCACCTTTTCCATTTCCAAAGCCGTCGGCTAACAGCTTCTGATACATCTCCTCGGTCAATGGGTCTGCATAGCGGAAAGCGACGTACGGCTTGTGTGGCGCCGTCTCGGGACAGATCTTGTCCAGGATCTTGCACATTTCCTCGCTCTGGTATTCTGACCATTTTCGAATCGGGGAGCCACCTCCGATGGCGTCGTACTGCTTTTGGATCTTTGGTGTCCTTCGTGCTGAGATCAATGGCCCGATGTATGATTGAAGTCTGCCCAAGGGAATCAGGTCGCCATCAGCCTAGTATATTCCACCTTATGATTAGCGCATTGGCATTGAAGAGTGCATTGAATTCAATTGTGCATACAAAAAGTCGACTTAAAAATTCCCCAACCTCGTTAAGCGTCGAAGGTCCGCCCATGTTGAGAAAGACCATGGCTGTTGGTCCCTTGGAGCCAGTCGCATCTTGCGTCACAGGATGGACCGGCGTGGCCAGATGTCTAGCATGGTTGTTGAGCTGCGAGAGGCCAAGAGGAGCTGCCGCTCTCCTTGACAGTCCCTTGGAGAATTGCTGTGTAGTAAGCCTTAACGCCATGTTGAGATGCAAAGATTGGGTGGTTAAGGAGAGAAAATTCGGAGCATTGCGGGAAGAATAAAAGAATCGAATACCCGTCGAACAATGTCAGACACCGATGCGCCGAGATCACTGAGGCAAGCTCCGAGAGTGGCAATCGAGCACTGGGATGACGCCCTGTTAAGACACTACCCGAGGCCTCGGTGGTGTATCGACTCGGTATATGCTCGGCAACAAGTACCCCTCTAGCAGAACCCGAGCCAGCGTCCACCAATAAGGCTGTCGGCAATTTGGATGAGCTGCACGTGACTTCGCGGATCCCTGTCGCATTCTGCCTAGGCTTGTCGCGTTTGCCTGAGAGCTTGTTCGGCGCATCCACTTTGACCCGCGTGGTTGCCTGGCTCTCACTGTCTTTAATATGAGTGGCTGATTGTCTCGTTCGGTGAATGTGAGAAGAGAAGAAAGAAAACATAAGAAAAACAAACCAATTTTATTACTTTCGTTCAATTGAAAATGGCAGACAAACAGCGGGATTGGCGGAGGGAAGAAAACGACGAGGATGACGAAGGAGAGCAGGAGCTTGACGAGTCTGTAAGTCGCAGCAGTGATTCCTAGTATCTAACCTAGCTTGACACTGAAGTTGCCTCTCTGACACGATCTCATCTAGAACTTCAAGGCGCAGAAAGATGCGGTGCTGCTGGCCATTGAAGTCAGCCCGTCAATGCTTGAACCTCCTCCCGCTTCTAGCTCTAAGAAGGCTGATCGGGACAGCCCGGTTCAAGCTGCGCTGAAGTGTGCCCACCATCTGATGGAGCAGCGCATCATTTCTAATCCCAAAGATATGATGGGAATCCTTCTTTTTGGCACGGAAAAGACCAAGTTTCGCGAGGAGAAAGATGGCCGCGGTGGGTTAGGATACCCGAATTGCTATCTCTTCACTGACCTCGATGTTCCCGCGGCCGACGACGTCAAGGCATTGAAGGCACTGGTTGAGGATGAAGACGATGAAGACGAGGTGCTGAAGCCGGTTACCACTGATGTTGTTTCCATGTCAAACGTGCTCTTTTGCGCCAACCAGATATTTACCACAAAGGCTGCCAACTTTGGCAGTCGGCGACTGTTCATCGTGACCGACAACGACGACCCACATGCATCAGATAAGGCGGCGAGGTCCGCTGCTGCTGTGCGAGCAAAGGATCTGTATGACTTGGGCATTACAATCGACTTATTCCCAATCACAAGAGGAGAGTCAAAGTTTGACCTTGGCAAGTTTTACGATGTATGTCTTCTCATCTCATTTTGTGACTTCTTTTGCCACGCAGCTGACAAATGCCAAGGACATCGTATATCGTGATCCCAGTGCAGAGGCCAATGCTACAGAAGTCCGAACATCTAAATCTGGAGATGGATTGTCTCTTCTAAACTCGCTCATCTCAAATATCAACTCCAAGCAGACGGCCAAACGAGCATTATTTCATCTGCCCTTTGAAATTGCGCCTGGACTTCGGATAACCGTCAAGGGCTACAACATTGTGCAACGACAAGCACCGGCCAGAACGTGCTACATCTGGCTTGACGGAGAAAAGGCCCAGATTGCAACGGGTGAGACAACAAGAATTGCCGAGGATTCTGCAAGGACTGTCGAAAAACAAGAGATCAAGAAGGCCTACAAATTTGGTGGCGAGTATGTATATTTCACACCCGAAGAACAGAAGAACCTCAGGGATTTCGGCTCGCCTATCATTCGGATTATCGGATTCAAGAAGCGCGACATGTTGCCTGTCTGGGCAAGCGTGAAGAAATCCACCTTCATCTTCCCAAGCGAAGAGGATTATATTGGATCATCCCGTGTATTTTCAGCCCTCTGGCAGAAACTACTGAAAGACGAAAAGATTAGCCTCGCCTGGTGCGTGCTTCGGTCCAACGCACAGCCTATACTTGCTGCTCTGATTCCTTCGAGGGAGCAATCCGACGAAACTTCTGGGACTCCATATCTACCCGCGGGCCTGTGGCTTTATCCTCTCCCTGCCGCAGATGACCTGCGAGAGATTAGCGCCGACCGCAGGATTGACTGTTCAGAGGATCTCAAGACAAAAATGAGAATAATTGTCCAGCAGCTCAATCTTCCAAAGGGTATCTACAACCCGTTGAAGTATCCAAATCCGGCCCTTCAGTGGCACTACAAAATCCTGCAGACCCTAGCCTTGGACGAGGAGGTACCGGACAAGCCGGAAGACTTGACGGAGCCGAAGAACAAGGCGATAAGCAAACGTGCTGGGGGCTATTTGGAAGACTGGGCCGAGACGCTGAAAGACGAGACCGACAGAGCCGTCAGATCTAGGTCTTTGAAGCGAGAGGCGGAAGATGACACCTCAGAGCGTCCTGCAAAGCAGCGAAAGCCGGCTGCAGAGCGACCAAGCGGATCCACATTCAGCATGGCACAGCTCAAGCTTGCCGTCGAGAGCGAAGGCCTCTCGAAAATGACAGTGGTACAACTAAAGGATGTTGCCGGTGCCCGGGGTCTCAGTACGAGCGGCAAGAAGGCGGATTTGGTGGAGCGGATAGAGCAATGGGTTGAGGAAAACAGCTGAGTTTCTTGCTTTTTTATTTCTTTTGTTTTCGTGTACTATTTGATAATGACATGTACCACTATGAGCCGGGGTTTGAGAATCTAGGACGGGATGCTGCTTTGTTTTACAATTCTGATGAGATTCACTTACATGGACTCTTCACTTGGCACTCTGCGGCCATGTTTGTGTAAGTCCCTTAGTCTAGTAGGTTAGTACTACTGGGTACCTACCAGAGGCGATGCTGTTGCCACTTGGTCATGGTATAAGATGAATGTATATATGCAGCACAAAAGAATAAGATAAACACATAAATGAATGACGAATTGATAATTGCCGACGATGCAAATACAAATGCAATGCTTTTGACGACAGTTGGACACATATGGCATCAGCAAGTACGAAGTACGCGAGCCGAGGGTCCATGTTTCCCTGACGCGTTGGCGCTGGGCTCACGCCCCTCACCAAACTCGCACCCCCAGCATTTCTTTTCTGCCAGGTCCAGGATCGCAATCCGCAATCCACCATCAACAATTCCGCAATGGTCACCACCAGCGGACCCGCTCTCACCGTCACCGAACCACCGTCTGTTTATCCCGTCTCTGCATCAAGATCAAGAGCTCGACTCGGCCCAGTTCCCGCAGAGCCTCTGCAGCGCGCAATCGCCCACGCCATCGGCCTTGGGCAGACGGTCCATGGACTTCCTCGCCAGCTTCAACTTCCGAGACGAGGAGCCCAGCAGGCTCGACAGCCAGCCGCATGCCTCTATTGAGGAATTGCAGTCGCAGCTCCGTGATGTCTTCAGCGGCAAGGTCAGCGAGACTCGGGCGGAGCGTGTTGCGACAAGGCTGGACCTCGCAGCGGCAGCCCAGTTGACGCTTGGAGTGTCGGAGGGCGATGGTCATGCGCTGGAGGGGCTGAGCAGGCTGGATCCGTCGCTGGGAGGAGCTCAGTCGACGGGCGAGCAGACGGGCCGTGTGGTGCGCGTGAGCGACGCTCTGCTGAACCAGCCGGCCGACGATCCAGTGTTGCAGAGGTCCATTGCCAACCACCTCGTGGCTGCGGTTGGCCAGGTCGACGGAAGTGAATGGGCGGTGCGGGAGGTGTCGCGAGCAACGCAGGACTGGGTCTTTTCGTATGTCTGCAAGGGCTCTATGCAGCACTGGCAGCGACAGCACAAGAGCCAGGTCAAGCCACCGGTTGCTGAATACTCACAGAGAGAGATTGATCCTCTGTTAGCAAGTGAGCACATGATCCCATACGTTCTGGTAAACTTTCTCTGTGTGCTAACATAGCCTTAGGTCGGCCTGCCTTTGACTGTCGAGGATCGCTCATCATATCCTTTTCTCGAAATAGTAGAGCTATATTCATTGACTATGACCACATTCCGCTCCACCGCACAGTCGCCCAACTCGCAACCTTGTTCAAGCCTCCGCCTCCACGACGTCCTCTCCCTACCGTAGATAAACAGCCTAAGACGCCAAATGCATCGAGGAAGAAGAGAGATGCCGACAAAACGCCTGGTGGTGAAGGCAACAAGTCGAGGAAGAGAAAGAGGAAAACAGGCGATGCTGGGGCCGCAGGTGAACAAGGTGTACTCGATTCTCAGGACGCCGCCGCTGTTCAGATAAGCCAGCTTCAGTTAGGAGAAGGGAGCGGCAGCTCAACTGGCCAGCAGCAGCATGCTCAGGATGTGGCAGCAGCTGCACAAAACTCGGCTGCAGGGCTGCTCACCATCAACGTCTCGCCCGAGGAGGCGGAGCGGCGTCGAAATGTCGCCATGGTCATGCTTCAGGGTGCTGGTGTTGATCCAGACTCTCTTTCCCCGGAGCAGTTCAACATTTTTGCAAATCAATCCCCAGAACTACAGAAGGAGTCGCTTAATATGCTGGTTAAGTACGGTGCAGAGCGTCTTCGCATTGTACATCCCGGCAACAAGGAGGGCTCTGCTCCGCCTTCTACCTCAAATCCATCATCTACTTCTGCGACCCAGAGTAACATACAGGGAAGCTCATCTGGCCCGGTCACTACTAATGAACTGGTGCTACAAACCTCCACTCCTACAAACAAGAAGAGCCGAAGGAAGAACAAAGCGGCGAATGGTGAGGGCGAAGAAGCAAATGCAGGCTTAGAAGACGCCGGAAGCGCCAAGAAATCGAGACGAAGGGGGGGCAAGTCGAGAATTGCCTGTGCCCAGTGTAAACAGCGCAGAGTCAAAGTAAGACAACAAACAACACATTTCTTATCTGGTTCGATAGATTTGTTGATACTAACGGTATACATCTAGTGCCCGAGAGAAACACCAATATGTAGCGGGTGCCGTGAGGCGGGTTTGATCTGTGAATATGCCGCCCCCAAACCAAAGAAAGTGAAGTCCAACGCCATCATCACAATAGAAGATGAGCAAGATGGGGAGGAAGAGGATGAACAGGATGAGGCCGAGGTTGAATTAGATGACGAAACACTACCAGAAGACCAGCAGCTTCATGAAGATGCAGAGGGTTATCCTGAGCTGCCCGACAATTCTGTACACCACCAAATGCCAATTGGAGATGTGTTGGCCAACAACATGGCTGCTACTGCTACTGACTGGGAACAAAATCACGTCCCGCACGACTATTTCAACCATACAAACATGGGCGTCTCCGAGGCAGGCTCTTCGCAACCCTCACAACAGAGCAGTATGCCGCTGTCGGATTTAATCCTGCCTCACGGACGCCAGTACTACCCCAACGTTCCGGCATCTGAGGTGCAGGACCAGACGCAGACGCAGACGCAGACGCTTACACAGCCAATGGCTCATGAACGCATGAAAAAGCCAACCAAGTCGTCAGCAAAAGGGTCTGGGCGTAACGCAGCGACTAGGAACACTAATCAAGAGGACAGACACAGCTCCTTGAATACCACGGCAGCTTCGGACTGGTCTAATGGCGGCAACCCAGTTACTCAGGCGGCAGCGGTTGTAGCAGCAGTCGTAACATCGATGCAGAACCAGACTCCCCAGGAGCCCGCCTACGGAATAGCAGACTCATCTGGCCGGAGCAGTGCTTGGCGGTCCACGGCGATGCCCCAGGCGTTGGAGAATTCTCAGCAACATAATGTGGCTGCGGCATCACTTCAACGCACTGGAGCTGTTTCGCCAATGAATGTTGTTTCACGAGCCACGAGCAGCCCCCGGACGGGCAAGCGCCAGACACGAGGTGCGGTTCACGAGACATCAACAACAGATGCCTTTCAGAGCCCAAACATGTCGGATCCAAAGCAGCAACAGCAACAGTCAAAAACTCATGGGCAAGGACTACAAGCGCCAGCTGGCATGGCTGGCTCTGGGACGTATAACAGCTACGACCGTTATTCTAGCACCCGAGCGCCAGAAGCAGCTTCAACCGACAGAATTACATACGAGCCATATTCATATCAGAGAGATGCGACCAACACCACCTCGTATACGAACTATGGCCACGGTTCACATGCCGCGACGACAACGACGGCCACTGCTAGCATGCAGGCGCCAACGTCAGTCTCTGCAGATCGCTCAGGCTCACATGCTTATGGCTCCTACGCGAATACATCCCGAAACACCTCACATACCAACCAGACATCCCACATGGCGCCGAGGGGAAATGCACAAGCACAAGACTTTAGTAACAATAACTCGGACTTGACACGTAATTCCCGGCAGAACTTCAACTCCCGACCACAGAGTTCGACGTCCAGGCCGAGCCAGAATGCAGCGAAGCAAGACCGAAACTATCCCGCTTACTCATCGCAGATTCAGCAACAGCAGCAGCAGAATACTCGCCAGCGTGTGGCTCAACAGCAACAGCAGCAGCATGCACAGCAGCCATCCCAGCACCAGGCGTGGTACGGCTTCAACGGCCAGTCGGGAACTGGCTTTGCGGCTACTTCTGGTCATGGCTCAAATTATAGCTGGAACATGCCAGGTGATTCATGAGATGGCTTCTGTGACGAAGGCAAAGAAAAAAAAACTGGTCGGCGTAGGAGGTGGATTTTTCTTCCATTGATTTTTAATGAGGGAAGCGTAGAGGATTTGGGTTACTGTATACCTTCAGAGGGGGTTTATACCCAGTTGGAACTGACATCATGGCGCGAATGGAGTTTTTCTTCTCTTCTTAATTTGCTCTTCCTTTCCCCCCTTGTTACTTTGACGTGGCCTGGCTTTTCGCTTAGCGTGAGCTTGAATAAAGCTGGGGTGTTATCATGTTCAACTGTTTGATAACTGTTTGACTTCCCCCTCTTTGCTACAGCAGAGATGCTTCTAAACTTACTACTTGTACATATTTCTTATCTAGGGAGGGGGAACAATCACCCCGTCGGGCAGAGATATCATGAATGAGATGCAAATGCTGCAGAAGATGAGGATACGAATGAGACTAGCCATGGTATTATTGCCATTAGGGAAATTGTTTTTGTGTGAACTCGCTTTGTCATGATATTACTATGATGATGCTCTCCAAAAGGTTAGCTGAAATCCATTAGACCACCCTCCCATAAACCCTGATGTTGATCCATTATCCCCGTACCATGCCCCATCTAGCTCAGTAAAACCAGTAGAAACGTTGAGTTTCTAATTCCCAAAGCACCAAAACCAAACCATAACAAAGCAAATATAAATCCAATAAATACATAAAGGGAATAATAATTCATGAGGACATTTCGCCACTCTTGACTCGTAACTGTTTTTCATTCTTCTTTAATTCTTCTCCTGAGTAATAGGCTCCTCATCAGCCTCCCCAGACTCAGCAAACTTGCTAAGCTTGCGAAGTGCTGCGCCGTAAAAGTACAGCAGCCAAATACCGATAATACCAATAACACTCAACCCACCAAGGAGACTCGTGCCCTTTGCAACACCGAGATTGTGAAACAGCGGATGCGCAAACAAGACACTTCCACAAGCAAGCGCGCTCCGAAAGAAGTCGTTTGCAGCAAACAGACTAGCAGCGTATTTGGGATAACTGAGCGGGATGTAGACGAAGATGGCCTGCATGACGATGAATACCGTAGCGCCGTAGATTGTGATGCCAATGGTGGGCACGATCCAGTGGATGGAGGCGCGGGCGGTCCACGCGAAGAGGAAGAGGCCGATGGTGGGGCCGACGGAGGCGGGCAGGGCCGGGATGAGCCGGTCTTCCTGGACGGGCCAGCCGAATTTCTCGATGCGGGGGTTCATCCAGTAGTAGAGGTAGGCGGTGTAGACTGCGACGCCGATGATGCAGGAGACGAGGATGCAGAGGAAGACGAGGCCGACTTGGCCGAGGTTCATGCCGTAGAAGACGGGGTAGACGAGGGGGAAGACCTCGAAGACTGTGAAGGTTAGTATTTATTTAGTTGGAAGGATATATAAGAGTGAGCAAAACTTACATGAATAGTAGATGCCGTAGATGATGGCGGTGTACACCTGGACGAACAAAACGGCGGGATCCTTCATGGTAATCTCAAGGGGCTTGATCAGGGCGTCGAGGAAGATTTGGCCGGGGTGCAGGTTGTGCTGGTCAATCTCGCTCTGGGACATGAAGCGCTCGTTGCCGGTGAGCTTGCGCAGGCGGCGGGCGCGGCGGAGCAGGATGTTTGCGCTGCTGGTCTCGGGGAGGAAGAGGAACATGCAGACGAAGACGGGAGCAGAGGCCCAGAGGGACTCGAAGAGGGACCAGCGCCAGGACTCCGCGGGGACGGCGAAACCACTGAGGAGAGGACCCAGAGCAGCTAAAGAATAAAAAAGTTAGCTATGAGAAGACAAAATAGAATAGGATGAGAAGAGGAGAAGGGGGGAATATCTTACGTCCACAGTAGGCTGCAGCGACCCAGGACATCATGGCATAGGGGAGAGCCATCAGGCTGTACATGTCACCAAGAGAAGCACCGCCAGACGCCAGACACGGCGATCCGAAGAAGCCCTGCAGGAAACGCAGGACCATGAGGCCGGGGTAGTTTGGCGCAAAGGCCGTCGGGATGGAGATGATGACGAACAGGAACATGGTGACGATGTACACGGGGTTACGTCCGATCAGCGGGATCTCACTGAGCGGGGAGAAGATGAGCGGACCGATGCCGTAACCCAGGACGTAGATGGACAGACCAAGCGTGGCCTTGATCTCGCTGACACCAAAGCGCTGCATGATGCCGCCCTCGGAGGTGGTGTAGATGGCAGACGTGGTGTAGACGACAAAGGTGTATAAGCAGATGAGGATGTTGATGCCGAGACGCTTGTTTCTGCTCCAGTTGTACGGGTTGTCGGGGTCATCTGTGTAATACCAGTCGACGAGGATGGCGCCGTCCTTTGTCGTCTGGGGCACGATGGGAATAGACTTGACCTTTTCCAGCTCGTGCTCTTCATCCTCACGAAGTCTCCGCGCCGTCATGTCGCCCAGGTCTGAGTGTTGTACATGCTCGTGTGAGCCGCCGTAGTGGTCGTGATGGTCTTCTGAATGCCGTGTTCGGGGCTCTGTGGGTGCCTCCTCATCCTTGGGGGCCCGAGACGGGGGTGGAGATGCATCTCGGCGAGTGCTGCCGTTTGACGGGGTGCGTAGGATGCCGCCCGTCTCTTTACCCTCGGCGGCTGTGGAGGCATCTGATGTAGATGTGTTGTGAGATGTGAGGGGGACGCCGTTCATGAGTTGGACCCAGGGCTCTGGGAGAACGAAATCATCTTTCTCTTCAGGATACTTGAGATATCGCTTCTTTGTAACCCAGCGAATGAGCTGCCCAATGGCGGCATCGCGAATGAGGTCCGCCATTGTAGATGAGGGATTGATTGTGTTGGTGATAATCGATACAATTGAGCGTAGATGAGTGTGTAAGTCCGGTTTATGATGTATATATATTATCGATTTAGTCGTCTAGTTGTCGACAAACACCGAGGCCTGATGGTTGTTTATATATAAGACAGTAAATTATGAGCGTATCAAGCTGTTTAATAAACAATCAGGGATATAAGAGGATATAAGAGCAAGTTCGTGTGATCTCAAGCTCTCTCTCTGCTCAGGAGTAACCAAAGTTTCTGGAATATCTTGTAGTCTGACTTCCCGGTAGTAAATGGCCACAAGCTTTCCTCTTATATCCCCCCCGATTTGCGTGTCTCCCCAAACTCCATTGCGCAAGTTTGAGTAAAAGCCATTCGGCTCCACACCAGCTCGCTCTTTGATCTGTAATCCAGCCGTGTGTAAGAGGCTGTTAGCAAGATCCCGGAGAGATTCGCACGGATTCCATAGCTCTGGGACTTTGATGCTCCATCAGCCCTAGCTAGGTTAAAGGTGAATGGAGATATGGATCCTGCCAGTAACCCATGCCAAGCGCAAATGCTAAAAAGCTGTGCAAGGGGGTGTCAGCGCAAAAACTGTCAACCCCACCGGCTTTCTGCTTGGACATGTGGGATGTTACAAAGCATGCACGCATCATAGCATCATCCTAGAGCACGCCGAGTGACGCCGCCCCGAGGATGTGGACAAAGATTGCAATCTAGCATTCACTCCTTTTGCCTACGGCACACGGACTTTTGGGGGTTAAGCTTAGTAAAGCCCGGCATTCGATCGGACACCGGAGGTATTGGGATCCATCGAGGCTGAGGATGGGCGTGAAGAGTTTGCTGCGGGCACAGCTCTTCCCTGAACTGGTCAACACTTTCTCCTAAGCCCGAAGTGCGATTCGGCCCTGGAGATTGAGTGAGAGATTCGCCTTTTGGAGCTTTGGAGGCGTGTTGGATTCAAGGGCCCTGGGGGGTGAAGCAGTTAGCTAATTGGCCGACCGGCGAGACTAACAAGTGCCGGCTGGGTCGAGCAAGGGATTAATTTTGCTGTAAAATCAAATTATTCTAAGCGGGAAAAAGAAAAAAGAAAAAAAGGTTTGCCGTCTAACGGGCAACGAGGCTTACCAACCAGCGACTCAGGAAATCCGAGGGTCAGAACTCAACCTGTCAAGACAACGGCCTAGCGGGCGGATTCCCGAGGAACTGGGCGTCGGCACTGACAAGAAAATGATGCGCAATCTGGCTTAGGCAGCGACCCAAGTCTAGTGCAGATGGAGGCAATAGATTGGGTCTTGGTGAGTAATGCAGCGAGATTAGGCTTCGGAGTAAGGCGACGGAAGCAGATTGCAACAAGATGCATGCCAGATGCAGGATGACGTGCTGGGGGTCGGTCTAGACTCTAGAATCTTCAGATTTGCTGAGATAACCTCGACCCGGACCCTGGAACAATACATTGGACGAACAGCCAGAATCAGATAGGCGATTGCGAGTATCCCTTGAAACTTGACAAATGCTCCAGTAGGCTATTTTTTTTTTTTTTTTTTTTTTTTGTCATTTTTCTTTTGTTAATAAGAATGAGTGATACCATGGATTCCAAGCGATTCCATTTATTTTAACGATATACATTTTTTTTTTTTTTTTTTTCGTAATTCCAGCTCTCAACTCCGAGGCAAATCTTGCCCCCCGGTTCCGACCCGAAGATCAACGTCAGATTTTGAAACTGGACGGGCTCAACAATTGAAGCCGCCGAAACTCTGTTTGATCCTTCAACTCGTATCATTTCGCCGGTCGAGGAGAAAAAACAGACTTCAAGCTTGTTCGTATCATACGGCTAATTTGCCCAAATTGGCAAACGCTGTTGCAATCAGCGTCATCTTTGCTTCAATCTCCCTTTTCTTCTTCCTTCTCTCCTCCTCGCTCTCGCACTCGGTTTCATTTGTCCGCCGCGAGGAAGAGCAAAAAGCCGCCAAAAAGTCAAGGCTCCAACATGTGGCAGTGAAGTCTCTCCTCCCGTCTTCCATCCTTCGAAACAAACAAGTTAATCATGACTCCATTAGATCCCGCTAGTAAGCCCCCCCCTCCCGTCCATGCCCAATCGGAAACCGCTTCGTTCAAGCCTAATTAGTAGCCACTCACGCATTAATAATTCCTCATGGGACTTGTCAGCCACCGTGACGATTCGTCGTCTTTCTGTTGCTTCTCTCATTCGATCCTTCAGCTCTAGTTCCGTGCCGTTCAAATTCCTTTCTGAGCATCTGGGTTCAGAGAATATTCTGATTAGTGACTTCACCGGCGGCAGGGGAGCCACGTTGCTCGCCTTGCCCTGTTGGGTGAGTCCGGCGAGTCACCTCGGAGTGACGATAGGCCGTCCTTTGTCATCTTTGACTCGTGGGACCCATCGTCGTGATTCGCATTGCTTCTATTGTATTTTTGTACCCTGGTCGCCAGGCCCAAGGCGCCGGTTCCCGTGCCGCCCGATTCTCCCGGGCGTAACATTGGACATCGCCGGGGTTGGTTGGTTGGTTCGTTTCTTGGTTGACTCATCTCATCTGGCCCTGCAGATGTTCCCCAACCGGGCAATAGTCTTGATAGCTGCTTCTGAGCTGTTGAATTTTCATCCTTAGGTGCTCGTGCAGTTGCCAGATTAGGAATAATCTCAAGTCTGTATCCGGGCATTGACTCGTCGGAGCTCGTCCAACGGGAAACTTTTCGCATGTCGCTAGGATATCGGCACTTTGGTGTTAATCTGCCATCTAATCTGTCATTACCAACTGCCCTCTTCTCCTTATAAATGCGACCTCCTTTCTCCGATCGGAAATAGAATCCTCTGCTGATAAACCGTATATCAAAATGGCCGAGTCCCTTCACTACGCGAGATGTTTGACACACGCTGGTTATCATTATCACATAATGGATACCTTGTAGACATGCCTTCCGGGGATCATCTGGATTTTCACTGCAGTCCCAGTCCGTCGATGGGGGTTCTTATTAGATCTACATGCGCTCATGGCGTCGTGGTTGGAGTTTTGGACCTCCACTGCGAGGCTAGTTTCGAAATCCTCTTCTGCTGCAGAATCCTGCGCACACTCTTGGCCGTATCTTCGTCGCCCGTGTTGAGCAGCGAATCCACCACAGGCCAGACCCGACCATCCTCTCTCGTAATCGCCTGCTCGACCAGGACGCTGATCCATCTCAATGATCGGCTCTTCGTGATCCCGCCGGCCATGGCCTGTTTCACGAATCGGAACGCCAAGTCCATCTCACCAACCTCTGCGCACCTCGTAATCAAGGTACTAAAAGTCGCCGTGCTTTGAGTCGGGTCGTCATCTTCTGAAACCTGGTCCGCATACTCCTTTGCAAAGTACTTAGCCGTAGCCTCGTCAGCGCTATGGATGATTAGATTCTGTAGCATCCTTGCATTAGGCGGCTCCACGTCACAGAGCGTCGGCAGGTCTCGGTATAGAGATAACGCTTTTGCGCTGCCGTGTGCTTCTGCGATTGATTCGACCACCGCAGCTGCGGCCGCGCGAGGCACAGGACGGGCACGGGCTGCCTCCCGCACCACTGCCTCGGCGTTATCCAAGAGCTCCGGACGGCTTCGGACTGCCTTGTGCAGCGTCCTAGTGTAACCGCGTCCGATCCTTATCCCGTTTTCTGACATGATGGAGAGAGTTCGTATCGCTGCCGCCAGGTCTCCGCTACCGGCAAAGGCCTCCACGACGGCTTCGTAGTGGTAGGGTTGGGCTCTTGTTCGCTGTGACACCATATCCAGTGCTTCTGTGGCAAGCTGCGCGTCTGCGTTTCTAGCCGCTGTCCCTAGCACGTTCTCAATGATGCCATCCGACGGCTGCACGAGGTGGTTTTGCACCACTGATAACCAGCCAAAGAGAGTTCCCGCGTGATGATATGCCTGGCTACACACATCCAAAGCGTAGTATGTTAGGTTGATGACCATGGGGTCAGTGCTACCGGCGAGATTCTTGCGTCTATAGAGAAGTTGCAGCATTTCATCCAAGAATCCGAGTTTCCCAAACACTAAAATGAAAATGTCGTAGACCCAGGGGTCAACCTTGGCCCCTTGCTCAATCATCTCCGTTAGCTTTGCATACGCCAGCTCGTGCTGGTCGTCTCGCAGCAGTCCTATTGCAATTGTCTGCTTTACCGGCGTGTCGGTTGGAAACCAGTACTCTTGCATAATGTTTCGAATCTCCATCCGCAACACGTAGTCTGGGTGATTCATCAACGCTCTCAGGGCGGCGTTGCATAACTCCGCCGTTGGCTTCATCCCCTGCTGCTCGACCATGTCGTCCAGGATTCGGCGCACGCCGTCAACGGAGCCTCGAGGATGAGCCATGGCATCCATGAGGCACTCGTAGATGAAAGGGGTAATAGGTTGATTCTCGACTCGCATGAGATGCTGTACTAGCTGAACTATCCGTAGATGCTGGTCCACTTCTTGGTTGCTGCTGGCTGGCGTCCATTTTCTCATTTCTCGAAGTGAAGCCAGTGCTGCTAAAATCTCTTCTGTTGTGCTGGCTTTGAGTGTCTCCTCTGATGGTGCTGCGGGGGCAAGAAGTCTCGCTCTCCAGGATCTTGGCGTGGCATCTGTGAGGCTGCCATCCTTGGTTTCCTCTCTCTGTTGCGCCTCGCTTGCCTGAGAACCTAGCTGAGAAGATCCATGATCTGATACCCCATTCCCTGATGCAAAACTAGAACCTGCTTCGTAGCATCGCACATGCAGTGGCCTTGCCCTGGAAGCACACTGTCGCCATCCCGCTGATCGTGTGCAAGACAAGCTCTGTCGATGAATCGCCGTCCGCAGAGCCAGTTTGTCAAAGGACGGGCATAAGCAGCGCCATAGCCCGTCATAAAGCAATTTGCCTCGCTGCATTTTCATTCCACTGCAAAACGCAGCTTCAAATCCAACCAGAGACCGTCCTCACGCCTGTTGTGTCGTTCAATTTGAGGCATTCAGAAGAATATTTTGGCGCGGAAAGGTTTCCGACGCTGGCAATGTACCCGTACCGCACAAAGCACGTACCGCAGTACTTTCGCAGCCGGGGTCATGCACATGGCGGGGTTCCTCCAGAAAGCTTGCTGACTTAGCACATATCCAGCTTCCAACTCGCAGCCTCACCTCCAAAAATAGAGCCACAAACCCTTTTTATCCTCACGCGACAGCTGGCCTTGCCACCGAGTAACGACATACAACAACCCTCCTCGCGCTCTGCCCAATAGAGGCATCATCACCAATCATGGTACGCTCTTTCCTTGCCCTGTCCGTCTCCCTCGTAATGCTGCTAATGCGCTTAACCCGCAGCTCCCCCTCGGATTGCTCAACGCCGCCCAGGGCCACCCCATGCTGGTCGAACTCAAGAACGGAGAGACTCTCAATGGACACCTGGTCATGTGCGATACATGGATGAACCTCACCCTGAAAGAGGTTGTGCAGACAAGCCCGGTACGCCTCCATCGACTCCCCCAACAGACGCATCTCTTTTTTACTAAACATGTATGCCATATAATTACAGGAAGGAGATAAATTCATGCGCCTCCCAGAAGTCTACGTCAAAGGAAACAATGTACGTCCTCACCCCTCCAGCACAACACCACCAGAGTTCCTCGCGACACAGCAACTAACGCTCTCCGGGGTTCACCAGATCAAATACCTTCGCGTCCCCGACGAAATCATCGACCAGGTCACCGAGCAGCAGAAGGGTCAGCAAGGCGGTTTCCGTGGCGGTCGTGGCGGTCACGGCCACCAGTCAAGAGGCGATCACGGCGGCCGAGGAGGCGGCGACAGGGGACGAGGAGGTCGTGGCGGTGGCAGAGGAGGCCGTGGAAGGGGGCGTGGCCAGTAGAAAAGGGCGCAACGGCGACGACAGCGACAACACCGACGACGACGAAATGTAATAGACTGTTAGAGAAAGCGGGAGGAAAGCGGGATAGGGATGATAAAGGTCGTGGCAGTGACGAACGCTATCATGTACGAATGTCATGCTCGGGCTGGATAAGAAGGAGGATAGGACGAGCTCTTTAAGCAATGGTAACAGCGGCGGGCAACTACGACGATGAGAGCTCTTCAGGCAAAGAGATTTTATACGCCAGCCGTCAATCTACGAAATCAATTGATACCCAATGGCACGCATGCGTCTGTCACATCTTTGGATATCAACATTACCGTTGACAGTTGTCAGATTTAGGGTAATAAACGGAGAAACTGGGCGTTTATTCGAGCCGTCAATCGATCACAATGGGCATTAGCAGTTGGTTGATCAGGCATAATGTTAGAAATCAATAAAAAAAAAATCAAAATTTTGTGACCTTCTATAGGGTCATTCAACTAATATATCTTACTAGTAAATGTCTCGTAAATCTAATACATCTGCTTCCGATCCATGCCATCATTCCCACGATACATATTAAACGTTGAATCAATTGGGCCTCCTTTTTAGCAAGCAACGCCTCCTTGATTCAAACCCGCCATCCTATTCTAAATGCGTTACTCAATCAAGTCATCATCATTTATGATGCCCTTTAGAAATGGGCAACTGCTACGGCAACGGCCTGCTTGTCGGCGTGTGAAATGGAGACCGAGACCTCCTTGACACCAGCCTGCTTGGCAGCGGCGGCGGCTTCACCATGGAGCTATTGGAAAATGGTTAGCGAGATGCTCTCTCATGAATCAAAGTTATATAGAACAACTTACAGTAACAACAGGCGCGCCGGTGTCGTCCTTGAGAATCTCAATGTCCTTCAAGGCAGCGCCAGCTCCCTTGCTGGCAACACCAAGGGCCTTGAACACGGCCTCCTTGGCACTCCATCGGCCAGCAAATGAGCTCTGCGGGCTAGGGGCAGTCTTGCAGTAGGCCACTTCTTGGGTGGTGAAGTTACGCTCAATGAACGTGTCATTGTCAATGTTGAAGGATGGAATATCCTCGACATCAACGCCGACGTTGCTGTTCTTGCTCGTCACTTTGTGCGCGAGCGCTTCGATGACCTGCTGAGTCTCCTTGACGGTGGTCGCGGGAGTGATCTTCTCAGACTGCTTCATGAAGTTGGCGGCATACTTAAGCTCCGCCGTCTTCTTATCCTCGCTCACACGAGCATCGGGGTTCAGCAGCACAGCGCTGAGCTGGTCATCGCTGTAAGGCGCGTTGGCCTTGGAGACAAACAGGGTGTTGCTAATCATTCCGTTGTGGAAGTAGCGGTAGGCCTTCTTCTGTCGGGCCTCGACCTTGACGCGGTACGCATCGTAAGTCTTCTCGTCGAGGGTAGCGAACAGATACTTGGGGTGAACACCGACTGCCTGGGCTCCCTTTTGTCCGAAACCAAACGAGGTCAGGGAGAAGGCCTTGACTCCGTCAGTCTGGATGCTACGGCTGGGGTAGACAATCAGGTCGTATTGCTCCATGATGGGGTCAATGTTGTCGGCGTTTCTGTTACCAGGGACCAATCCAGAGTTGAGGATCTGCAGGCCGCCGTTCAACATCCAAGCACCGGCAGCACCCTTGGGGTGACCAGTAAGGAACTTTTGGAAGACACCCATAATGGCATTGCCCTCGCTTCGGCCAAGGTGACGCAGCTGCTGGCAGATGGCCGCAGACTCGTTCTTGTCGTTGGCGCCAGTGGATGTGCCGTGGAACGAGGCCACCTTGACATCATCAATGGTAAGACCCCAGGTTGCAAGGGCACCTCGGAGAGGAGCGATGCTTGGGTCACTCTTCCAGAAGTTGTTACCCATGCTTCGGAGGAGCTCCTTTGTTTGTCTTGCGGCCTCCTTCTGGATGTGCAGCATGCGGTCCTGAGCGTACTCCTTCTCGTCGAATTTACCGCCCTGAGCCTTCATAGCATCAACCTCATCGTGCAGGAACTCCAACTCAGACTCCTCCCACTGCTTGATCAGCTTCTTGCGGCGCTCAATCTGTCGGCGGCGGTAGTTGATATCAAGCAGCGGCGATGGGAACTTGCCAGCATGCTCTCGGGCAGAAGTGAGGACACCCTTGCCAGGCGCAGGGACGGATCGTCCAATCTTGTCGGAAGCGGTGGTGGTAAAGGCAAGGATACCGTGGATCGGGACACCCATGTCCAGAGCGAGCTGGGCAGTCATGATGACCTGGACACCACATCCCTGAGACTCCATGAAGCCGTTTCGGGTAGTGGTAGTAGGTCGTGACATTTCACCGGGTGTACGGCCATGGGCAAACTCATCCACACTGTTGCTGGTGGCCTTCATGTTGGCGAACTCATAAGAGCCTTCCTCACCAAAGTCGTCGAAACCACCAACGAGACAGATGCGTGCCTTGCCTTCGAGAATAGTCTCCACACCAATGTCGACAGACTCAATAGCAGTAGCACAAGCGCCGACAGGCGTCTTGATAGGTCCAGACGAAGAGAGCAGCAACATGTTGACCCATGCAGCCATGGTGTTGATGAAAGACTCCTGCAGGATGTCGTTCTGAAGAGGCTTGTCGAGGAATCGGGCCTTGTGCATGCCACGAAGGGCTGCAGCACCACCCATACCAGAGCCGACAATGTTACCAACCTCAGAGACGTGAACGTACTTGTAGAACTCATAGGGGTCGGTGATACCAGACGACAGCAGAGCCTCGGCAGTCGACACGAGAAGGAACAGGGTGACAGGGTCCACCTGGCTGATGATGTCCTCGGGGACACCATATCGCTTGGGGTCCCAGCCAGTCGGGATCTGACCGGCGACGAGTCTGTCAAAGCGCAGAGCCTTGGGGATCCAGAGTGAGGCGCCCTTCTTCACCCGGACAATGTACTCTCCACTCTCGGGGATCTCGAAGATCTCCACCTTGTCACCATGCTCGCGTCGGAATTCCTCTGCAGTCTCCTTGGAAGCCTCGAAAGGCTCCAGGTCCTCTTGGATAACGACCTCGTGGAGCAGCTGCTTCTTGTTGGGGTCATATCCGTCGAACAGCTCGGGCTCGATCAAACGAATACCGGAGTGCTCCAGGATGTGCTTCTCGTACTTCTGCTTGACATCCTTGTCATCGACGGGCTCGCCAGTCTTGGCGTCAACCCAGCCAGCATAGGGCTTGCCCTTGAGGGGACCGTTGTGGTTCTTGATAAGGCCCATGATCCAGGCCATTTCGATGCAACCTTCGAGCGAAAACTCGCCATAGGCCTCCATCTCCCATCGAGTTCGAGAGTTACCCCAGGGACCAACTTCCGCAAAACCGGTCACAACAATGACCTTCTCCAAGTCAACCATGCCCTTCAGCTGGTCGTTGAGAGGGGCCACCTCCGTCTTCCAGTCAGGCAGGTGAGGGAAGTCACACTTGATGTTGGCACGGGGCTCGATAGTCTTCTTCTTGTAAAGAACCTCGGAGTCGGCTCCGTTAACAATGGTGTTCTCGATAGCGCTCTCCTTGGTAACGGCTCTGCGGATTTCGCTAGTCTCCATGATATCCTTGCGGAGCTTGGTCATGGACTCGTTCAGGTTGGGGATGAATTGCAGGCCACCGTTCAAGTCGGCAAAGACGGGCTCTGACTGGCAGAGATCAACAATGGTAGCTGACATCAGGCCCAACAGGTTGAAGGCCATCTCTTGCTGGGAGAAGGTTCGCACGCCGAACGCCTCCACACCCTCAGCAACAACGTTGTTGCCAGACATGAGACCAGTACCACGAGTCCATCCGATGACAGCACCGCAAATGGTGAGGTAGTGGCCCCAGTCCTCGGAGTGCCATCGGTTGAAGAGGGTCTCAAGAGCCAGCTTGGACTCGGAGTAGAGACCATCGTTACCGAAGGTACCGTGGTTGGGGGACAGAGGGAGGACGACCTGGGCGGGACGGGTCTCGAAGCCACGCTCAGCCTTTTGAGTCTTGACGCAGCCAAGCATGCGGATCAAGTTGGTGAGCATAATACGGTGAGCCAGCTCCGACTTGGAATCGATGCTATCAATCTGTCGGCCGTTCTCAGGAATGGCAGCGAAGGGAACAATGAAGTCGAGATCCCAGCCGAGACCGGTCTTGGCATCGTAGATGTAGTTGACAAGAGCCTCCACATCCTGCTTGCTTCCCTGGTTGAAGGGAACGACGACGATTTGCGATCCGCGAGAGCCAAAGCGGCTGTACATGGACTGGTAGTACTCGGTCACCTGTCGAGAGAATCGGCTAGTGGTAACCACAACCTTGGCACCTCCGCTGATGAGGCCCTGCAGGACCTCGGCACCAATGGAACCGGCACCGGCACCAGTCATCAGGACATACTTGTCCTGGAAGGTGACACCATCCTTGGCCGCTTCCTCAAGACAGTTGAGGTAGACAGCAGTGAGCTTCTTGCTGTAGTCCCAGCCGTGCAAGGTCTTTCTCTTGAGGTGGAGGAAGGGGATGGTCTCGACTCGGCCCTTGTTGGGGTTTGTGCCCTTGAGACCTGGCTTTCGGCCCTTGCCATTCTCCTTGGGGAGGATCTGGCTCTCGTTCATGGCCAGAGAGCGCAGAACATCGCCGTACAGGCTCTTGATCTCGAGCTGAGAAGTCTTGGAAATCTTGTGCTGCTGCTTGATCAACTTGTAGATACGCTGCAGGTCGTTTTGCACCTTGGTGCGGTTGCCATACTCGGAAATCTTTCCACCCTCAGCCATCTGCTGAACGTAGTGCTCGAGCTTTCTGCAGCTGGCGCGGGGAACCTCTTCGTAGTTGAGGTTGCCACGAGCGTCCACAGTGGTGCGAGGACCAGTGGGGACAGCAACGTCCTTGTAGACGGGGGAAAGGTTCAGAACGTCCTTGCAGTTCTCAATGAGCTGCTGACCAAGCTCCTTGGCCAGCTGGTAGGTCTCACCGCGCTCAGTAGGGCAGTTGTCGATGTGGTACTGCATAAACTCGAGGAGCTTGGGATTTGACTTGTTCATGATGCGAATGCACTGGCTGACAATTTCACGGTCGACGGTCTTGAGTCTACCAAAGATAATGTCGTAGAACATGGTGAGCGCATCCTGACGAGCCCAGTTCCAGGAGGAGTCGTAGGATCTAGCCTTGAGCGGGCTAAAGACAGGCTCGATACCAGAAGCGTAGAAATCGCCGTGCTCGGCGGTCCACAGATCCAGCTGAGCTTGGAGAACCTTTTCTGATTTCTGGGAGTCAATGTGTGCCTTGTCGCCGGCCCGGAGGTCCATCTTGAGGTATCTGGCAAAGAGCTCCAACTGCTGCTTGAACAGGGCGCGCTGGTCCTTGGTGAGAGCATCGATGGCGGCGGGATCCATCATCATGCCTCCCGCACCTCCTTCAGAGCCACCAGAAGCAGCTGCAGATGTCAAGCTGATACCGGCGCTCGCGGCGTATTTCTGGACAATTCCGTCGAGGAATCCCTTGGCCTCACCGTCGTTTCCTAGACGGGCAGTAGGCTCCATGGTCAAGGCCAGCAGCAATGCTCCGTCTTGCCTGCCGGGGCCGAGACCCCATCTTGTTTCCAGATATTTCCTGGCCACTGTGATGTTGAAGCCACCAGGCATCTTGGAGGAGATGAGCCTAGCGATGAGGGATACTGTGTGCTTGCCAAGGTTGCCATCGAAGGTAGCCTGCATAGAGGCGGCGAGCTCGTCGAGAGGTGTATCTTCGGGCTTCTCAGGTGTTGAGCCGAATTCCTTTCCAAGGTCACCGAGAATCTCATTTTGAAGAGTGGATTTGCCTATACGCAGTTAGAATTGGCCAAAACAAAATTTTATTCTTTCCCAATTTTTTGGAGGGGTAGATGAAGAGAGGGGTAGTCAACTCACCTCCAACCAGATCCTTGATGGCCTTGCTAAGAGGCACATCAGCTAGAGACTTCTTGAGCTTCTGTGCAACCAAGGTGTGCACAATCTCGACAGCCTGGACAGGCACATCGGGAACCTGAGCTGCAGGTCCAGCGCCGGCAGCGGGAGCAGCAGCAACTGGCGCAGCAGCCGCAGGAGCGCTGGCAGCAGCGGGTTGACTTGTGGGAGCAGCGGATGAGCTGGCAACAGGCTCGGGCTCTTCCTCAACGGGGTCTACATCATAGTAGATCTCCTTGGCGTCTTTGTTGTAGCAGAGGATCTGTCGCTGAACCGACTTGGCGGCGTCGTAGGCCTCGTACTTGGATGCCAGTGTGCGCTTTGCCATGACTCCAAGGGTATCTGCGGGGCCGACTTCGACGATGCGCTCGGCTGTTCTCTCTGCCAGGAAGACATCCTGGGTCTCAATCCACCTCACGGGAGAGGCGAACTGGTATGCCAGAAGCTCGACGAGGAGCGTGTGGGCGAGCTCTTGCTCGACTTCGGGACGCATGGTGGCGGTGGTGCGTCGTGAGGTGGGAAAGGTGATGAATGTTAGAGGAGGGTATCAATTGAGAGGATAGACGGGTAGTCGGAGTCGTCTATCTGACCGCCGGCAGTGTGGATCGCGCTTCTCAACCGAAACGGAACGCCTGCCTGGTGGGATGGTTTAATATTTTGTGCTGCTTGGGCTGCTCGACCAAGTGCTGATGGTGTTTTGGTCCGACTCTCCGTACCTTGAAGGAGAGAAGGGCTTTTGGCAGACACAGGAGATGCAGGACGGCAGCAGAGCGGGATGGTTTGGGATTATGATTAGAAGCGGCCGGAAAAGCTTGATCACAAAAACCGTTCTGGTTCCAATTCCCCCCTCGATGGTTGGACGGATGGAAGGAAGCCAGTGTCTTGATTGTTGAATCCCGACCCACCGCCTGTGGACGACGCTGGCCAAAATATTGGGGGGAGGACAGGCTGCAAGTACCGGGGTACAAAGCAGTGACATGGGCACTCACCCTCCACGCGGTTGCTGCAGGTGCATTGGGCTGCTCAACCATATTCGCGCGCTAAGCCGCTTGGGGTAAGAACCGCTGGAGCCGGCTCTGGGTGCCGTGGCGCTGGTCCCTAGAAATGAAGCCACTCTTGCAGCAGCCAAAAGAATAATTTTCTCTGCATAGCCCTCAGCGGGTCCCCGTCTGATGGTAGCTGGGCCGTACTTGATGCCGTACCAGTACAAGGTGCATGTCCCCAGGGAGCGTCGCAGCCCAATTGATGAGGGGCAGACATGTCTCGCAGCAATTGCCCAAGAGTATTGCGAAATGGACGCAAAAATGATGGTACTGGAATTCCCTCTCGCCCTGATAAGAGTTCTAGGCTGTTTTCCACGGCCGTTGTCGTATCGATACGCGCAGTCCCCTGGACGGTTTGCGTGCTAAGATAAGCACAATCGCAACCCTCCCACCGCAAAAAAAGTTTGTTACACCCCGCCACTCGGGGTTGGTCGTGTTTTCGATGGGAAGGGGGGCGGCGAATCTGGCCGCAACGCCAAGTACCTGTACCTGGTCCGTCTCAAAAAGCCACTGGCGATGGAACATCCATCCACCCTCCGGAGCAATGCTTATCATTGAGCCGTTTGAGACAACAGGGAAATGATTCATTTGGAATCTTTTTTACTCTATAATGTGTATCTCTAGAGGTCAACGGTGGCCTGATTCGTCCTAGTTTGTGTCTGCTGGGCCTTTGGTTCGCCAGGGGCCCCTAAATTTAGCTTTTATGATTCTGGCCGAGATAACCTCATCCAAGGAAGCGTTACGACGCATAGCTGGTAGCCTCGGAGCGATATTCAGTTGCCTGGCCGTTGCATCTGCCCTATGCTTGTTTTGTCTTGCTTAAGCTGATGATTATCATGCCGCTAGCGGGCCGCCGGCCTCGATCAGGATCCCATTTCCCTCGGATGTCCGAAAAGAACCTTTATTGATGCTAGCTGAAGCATGAAGCTTCGCGAATGTCACTCAGTAGCATCATTGGACAATGATCCCTGGGGGTCGAGGATTACTCAACTGGCAACGGTGACTGCTACGGAGAGAAAGAATCAAAGTGTTGAAGCCCCAAAGAATGATGATTTCACATCACGATGCCTTTGTTTGTTTACTGATCCTCCCACTGGAGGCCGTCTCATCGGCAATTGAGAGCAGTTGGCATTGCCTGTATAGGAAATACTCTTCGCATCCCACCTTACGTCCATCGTCACTTGGCAAAGCTTGGATCCGGATCCAGGATGAAGAGCACATTTGGATATCAACAGACACGCCATGGACATTGGGGAAATCGATTCTCAGCTCGATGGAAAAAGAAACACCCGACTCCATGTGGTGGCTTTTCGCCATGAAGAGGCGGCGTATTGATCCTCATCATCAATTCTCCGTGCCTTATCATGATGTCGATCAAGTCTGCTGCCATGCATGGCAATCCATCTCATCGACCAACGGCTGCTGTTCTGGTTCTGGATCTCGATTTCTGGTGTAACGTGTACCTGTAACTCACACTCACCACCAAACAAGACATTGTGTTTGTATCTTAGACAGTGAGCTTTGCGTGGCTGCACACACTCAACACTCCTTGCTGCGACATCCCTCCCCAAAATCGGACCCTTGTACCGGTACATTCGGCTGCCCATGGTGGGGTCCAGCCTAGCTGGGGCAAGGGGAAATTCTCGACTTATCCCCAACAGAACTAAAAAAGTTGGCGAGTCTGTTGCAAGCTCCCTCTGTGAGGTCACTGCGAATGGCGAGCCTGACCTGGCCCATGTACACGCTGTGTACTTGTTATCCTGTGCGTACCTCCATGGGTGCTAAAGTAGTCGCTTTGTGAATTTTCCATTAGCGCCGCCGCGACTCTGGACGTTGAGCGGCATCTAGACTGTAAATCTCGGCTTCAACCCTCCCCCCTCCTCTCGTCCGGGTTTCCCATCTTTTCCTCATAGTGGTGGCACTGCTCTTCTTCTTTTTCATTTATCTTCATCGTGTTTGCTTGGTGTGGTTCTGCTTCATTGCTCCCGCATCTTCAAGCTTGCCCGCCCTTCCCTTTGCCATCCCTCTGTAAGACTTTGATTCTTCAGGCAACAAATTTTCCTTGATTTGGGTTGGGCTTTGCACACCTCTCTCGACGTTACTTGCGATTGTAGACAAGGCACGAGAGTGACATTCAGTCTTTTGCCCTAATAATTGTCAACTGCTTCAGGTTTGTCACTCATTGATGCCCACGAAACACAGTAAACAAAAAAAAAAGACCCAGTCCACTGATCGTGTTCTACCCCGCAGACTCAACCCTCATTATACCCTCTTCACACCGCCATCATGTACGGTACTGCGACTGGCCCTCAGACGGGCATCTCTACTCCTCGATCCAGTGCCTCTTTGCGACCCTTGACTCTCTCTCACGGCTCTCTCGAAACCTCCTTTCTCGTTCCAACCAACCTCCACTTCCACGCCTCCGAACTGAAAGATCGGTTTGTTGCCAGCCTACCTCCGGCAACCGACGAGCTCGCTCAAGATGACGAGCCTTCATCGACACCCGAGCTAGTGGCTAGATATCTGGGCTTTGTTGCCTCCGAGGTGGAGGAGGGAGAGGATGATGCGGCGGGATCCTACGAGGAGGTCCTCAAGCTGCTGCTCAACGAGTTCGAGCGAGCTTACCTCCAGGGCAACGAAGTCCACGCTCTGGCCGCCACTTTGCCTGGAATCGAGTCAAAAAAGCTCGAGGTCATTCGATGCTACTACATTGCTCGCGCCGTCTCAAACCGCACTATCAAGCCTCATGAGTCTGCTCTGTTGAGGGCTGCTGACGACAACTCGGCCAAGATCTACACCATCTTTGGCGGCCAGGGCAACATTGAGGAGTACTTTGACGAGCTTCGCCAAATCTCCAAGACGTACTCAAGCTTCGTCGGAGAGCTCATTGCAAATGCTGCCGAGCTTCTTCAGACTCTCTCTAACCACCCCAGCGCGGAGAAGATGTTCCCCAAGGGGCTCGATATCCTGCAATGGCTACACAGACCAGAGGCTACCCCAGACGTTGACTACCTCATCACTGCACCCGTCAGCTTTCCCTTGATTGGGCTGGTTCAGATGGCGCACTACGAAGTTACCTGCAAGGTCCTGGGTATTCACCCTGGTCTTCTGAGGGAGCGAATCGGCGGAACCACTGGTCACTCCCAGGGTATTGTCATGGCTGCTGCTACCGCAGCGGCTGACTCTTGGGATTCTTGGCGCGAGATCACCAGTTCTATCCTGACCGTTCTGTTCTGGATTGGAACCCGAAGCCAGCAGGCTTTCCCCACCACATCCATGACCCCAACCATGCTTCGAGAGTCTCAGGAGCACGGTGAAGGTACTCCTACTCCCATGCTGAGCATCCGTGACCTGTCTCAAGAGGAGGTTCAGAAGCACATTGATGCCACAAACCAATACCTTCCAGCCCACCGTCATATCGGTGTCTCTCTCATCAACAGCCCTCGCAACCTGGTTGTTACGGGTCCTCCTACCTCATTGTATGGTCTGAACTCTCAGCTTCGCAAGGTTAAGGCCCCGACTGGTCTCGACCAGACCCGAGTTCCTCACACCGAGCGAAAGGTTCGATTTGCCAACAGATTCCTTCCCATCACAGCCCCCTTCCACAGCAAGTACCTGGAGGATGCCACCATCATCATCGATGAAGATCTGAAGGATGTTAGCATCGACTCCAGTGCCTTGGGCATCCCGGTCTATGACACTAATACCGGTAAGGATATCCGTACCGAAGTCAGCGGCAACATCGTGCCAGCCCTGGTTCGATTAATCACACGGGATCCTGTCAACTGGGAGAAGGCAACCGTCTTCCCACAGGCTACTCACATCTTGGACTTTGGTCCTGGAGGTGTTTCTGGTCTTGGAGCCCTGACGAGCCGAAACAAGGAGGGTACTGGCATCCGAGTCATCCTTGCCGGAACCATCGAGGGCACTATGGGCGAACTCGGATACAAGCCCGAGATCTTCGATAGAGACGAGGAGAATGCCGTCAAGTTTGCCATCAACTGGGTAAAGGAATACGGCCCACGTCTGATTAAGACTTCTGGCGGCCGAAAGTACGTTGACACCAAGATGAGTCGTCTGCTTGGTCTGCCTCCCGTCATGGTTGCCGGTATGACTCCTGCAACTGTCCCGTGGGACTTTGTTGCGGCTACCATGAACGCCGGATACCACATCGAGCTTGCTGGTGGTGGCTACTTCAATGCCAAGATGATGACTGCCGCACTCGAGAAGATCGAAAAGGCCATCCCTGCGGGCCGTGGTATTACTGTCAACCTCATTTATGTCAACCCTCGCGCAATGGGCTGGCAGATCCCCCTCCTTGGCAGACTTCGTGCTGAAGGTGTGCCGATTGAGGGATTGACAATCGGTGCCGGTGTGCCCTCGATCGAGGTTGCCCAGGAATACATCGAGACTTTGGGCCTGAAGCACATCGCATTCAAGCCCGGTTCGGTCGAGGCCATTCAGGCCGTCATCAACATTGCCAAGGCTAACCCTACCTTCCCTGTCATTATGCAGTGGACTGGTGGTCGTGGCGGTGGTCACCACTCTTTCGAGGATTTCCACCAGCCTGTTCTGCAGATGTATGGCCGAATCCGACGACAGGAGAACATCATCCTGGTTGCCGGCAGTGGCTTTGGCGGTGCCGATGACACCTACCCATACATCACTGGTGAGTGGGCCAAGAAGTACGGATACCCTCCTATGCCCTTTGACGGCTGCTTGTTTGGTAGCCGCATGATGGTAGCCAAGGAGGCCCACACCAGCAAGAACGCCAAGCAGGCCATTATCGACGCTCCCGGTCTTGACGATGGAGAGTGGGAGAAGACCTACAAGGGCCCTGCTGGTGGTGTCATCACCGTGCGCTCCGAAATGGGCGAGCCAATTCACAAGCTGGCCACTCGCGGTGTCAAGTTCTGGGCGGAGATGGACCAGAAGATCTTCAACATCCCCAAGGAGAAGCGAGTTGCTGAGTTGAAGAAGAACCGAGACTACATCATCAAGAAGCTGAACGACGACTTCCAAAAGGTCTGGTTCGGTTGCAACAAGGATGGCAAGGCTGTGGACCTCGAGGACATGACCTACGCAGAGGTTGTTCGCCGCCTGGTTGAGCTCCTTTACGTCAAGCACCAGTCTCGATGGATCGATGGATCCTACACTCGTCTGACTGGTGACTTCATCCACCGAGTCGAGGAGCGATTCACCACCAAGTCTGGCCAGCCTTCTCTTCTCCAGAGCTACGCCGACCTTGAGGAGCCTTACAGCGCTGTTGATAGAATCCTTGCCAGCTACCCCGAGGCTGAGCACCAGATCATCAACGCACAGGACGTTCAATACTTCCTCATCCTCTGCCTGCGACCTGGCCAGAAGCCTGTCACTTTCATCCCCGCCCTTGACGAGAACTTTGAGTTCTACTTCAAGAAGGATTCCCTGTGGCAGTCTGAAGACCTTGACGCGGTCATTGGCCAGGATGTTGGCCGAACCTGTATTCTCCAGGGCCCTACCGCCGCCAAGTTCTCTACTGTCATTGATGAGCCCATCCAGGACATTCTTGACAACATTCACAACTCCCACATTGCGTCTTTGACCAAGGACTTCTACAACGACGATGAGACCACTATTCCTTCCATCGAGTACTTTGGTGGCAAGCTTGTTGAGACGGAGATTCCTCTTGATGTTGAGGGCCTCACCGTCAGCTATGACACTCACAAGAACACCTACCGCCTTGCTTCATCTCCTGCCAGCGCCATGCCCTCGCTTGATTCTTGGCTGTCTCTGCTTGCGGGACCCAAGCGCAACTGGAGACATGCTCTTCTCATGTCGGACGTCGTCGCGCAGGGCCAGAAGTTCCAGACGAACCCCATTCGACGCATCTTTGCCCCTGTCCATGGCCTGTTCGTTGAGATTGAGTACCCCAACGAGCCCTCCAAGACCACTATTGTCGTCAAGGAGCAGCCAAGACACAACCAGTACGTGGATGTTATTGAGGTCAAGCTGAACGGCGAAAACGAGATCCTCATCAACATGATCAAGGAAACCACCGCTCTGGGAACTCCTGTTGCGCTGCCTCTGAAGTTCACTTACCACCCTGATGCTGGATACGCACCCATCCGTGAAGTCATGGAGGGTCGCAACGACCGCATCAAGGAGTTCTACTGGAAGGCTTGGTTCGGCAATGATGCCCTGGACCTCGATGCTATGGTCACGAGCAAGTTTGACGGAGGCAGCACCACCATCACGGCCGAAGCCATCAACGACTTCGTTCATGCCGTTGGCAACACCGGTGAGGCTTTCGTCAACCGACCCGGCAAGATTATGTATGCCCCCATGGACTTTGCCATCGTGCTTGGATGGAAGGCCATCACGAAGCCCATCTTCCCTCGCACCATTGATGGTGACCTTCTGAAGCTGGTGCATCTGTCCAACGGCTTCCGCATGATCCCTGGCGCCGAGCCGCTCAAGATGGGCGACGAGGTGACGACCACGGCTCAGATCAACGCCGTCATCAACCAGGAGTCGGGTAAGATGGTTGAGGTTTGCGGCACCATCACCCGAGACGGCAAGCCGGTCATGGAGGTCACCTCTCAGTTCTTGTACCGTGGTGCTTACACGGATTACGAGAACACCTTCCAGCGCAAGGATGAGACACCCGTCCAGGTGCACCTGGCGACCACCAAGGATGTGGCCGTGCTGCGATCCAAGCAGTGGTTTACCCTCGACGAGATCCCTAACGAGATCAACCTGCTGGGCCAGACCCTGACATTCCGTCTGCAGAGCTTGGTGCGCTTCAAGAACAAGAGCGTCTTCAGCAGCGTCGAAACTCGTGGCCAGGTTCTGTTGGAGCTTCCCACGAAGGAGGTCATCCAGGTCGCCAGCGTAGACTACGAGGCCGGTGAGTCTCACGGCAACCCCGTGATTGACTACCTTGAGCGCCACGGTACTCTGCTGGACCAGCCGATCAACTTTGAGAATGCCATTCCCCTGAGCGGCAGAACTCCCCTGCAGCTCCGAGCACCCGCTTCCAACGAGACATACGCACGTGTGTCGGGCGATTACAACCCCATCCACGTGTCCCGCGTCTTCTCGGAGTATGCCAACCTTCCTGGCACCATCACCCACGGCATGTACAGCAGTGCCGCCGTCCGAAGCCTGGTTGAAACCTGGGCTGCCGAGAACGACGTTGGCCGAGTCCGTAGCTTCCACGCTTCCTTGGTCGGCATGGTCCTTCCCAACGACGCCATCCAGGTCAAGCTGCAGCACGTGGGTATGGTGACGGGCCGCAAGATTATCAAGCTCGAGGCCATCAACGCCGAGACGGAGGAGAAGATTCTGCTTGGCGAGGCCGAGGTGGAGCAGCCTGTGACTGCCTATGTCTTTACTGGACAGGGTTCGCAGGAGCAAGGTATGGGTATGGATCTCTATGGCAGCAGCCCTGTTGCCAAGGAGGTTTGGGACCGTGCCGACAAGTACCTGCTCGACAACTATGGTAAGTCTCGATTGTTACTTCTTTACATGCACGTCTTTTTTACTAACTTGTTATATTCAAGGTTTCTCCATCACCAACATTGTCAAGAACAACCCCAAGGAGCTCACTGTGCACTTTGGTGGTCCTCGTGGTAAGGCTATTCGCCAGAACTACATGGCCATGACCTTTGAGACTGTGGCCGCCGACGGCACTGTCAAGTCGGAGAGAATCTTCAAGGACATTGACGAGAAGACGGCTTCCTACACTTACAGGTCGCCCACCGGTCTCCTGTCGGCAACGCAGTTTACCCAGCCTGCCTTGACGCTGATGGAAAAGGCCAGTTTCGAGGACATGAAGTCCAAGGGACTTGTTCCCCGAGACAGCACCTTTGCCGGACACTCTCTTGGTGAATACTCAGCCCTGGCTGCCCTGGCTGACGTCATGCCCATTGAGAGTCTGGTCTCGGTCGTTTTCTACCGTGGTCTGACGATGCAGGTTGCTGTCGAGCGTGATGCCTCTGGTCGCTCCAACTACTCCATGTGTGCCGTCAACCCCAGCCGTATCTCCAAGACATTCAACGAGGAGGCGCTTCAGTTTGTCGTGAACAACATCTCGGAAGAGACTGGCTGGCTGCTGGAGATTGTCAACTACAACATTGCCAACATGCAGTACGTATGCGCTGGTGATCTGCGTGCTCTCGATACTCTTGGAGGAGTTACCAACTTCCTCAAGATGCAGAAGATTGATGTTGAGGAGATGCGCAGCAACATTGAGGAGGCCAAGGGTGCTCTGCGCGAGATTATCCGCGGATGCGCTGAGGCAACTCTCAAGAAGCCTCTGCCTCTTGAGCTGGAGCGAGGCTTTGCCACCATCCCGCTCCGAGGTATCGACGTGCCTTTCCACTCCACCTTCTTGCGCTCTGGTGTCAAGCCCTTCCGATCCTTCTTGCTCAAGAAGATCCACAAGACGACGATTGACCCGTCCAAGCTGGTGGGCAAGTACATCCCCAACGTGACGGCCAAGCCTTTTGCCCTCACCAAGGAGTATTTTGAGGATGTGTACAAGTTAACCAACTCTCCCAAGATTGGAGCAGTCCTGGCCAACTGGGACAAGTATGTCCAGGATGAGGAGTCGACTGGAAGCGAGAGTGGCGGTAGTGCCGATCACGAGGGTGCTGGACTGGCTGCTTAAATGGTGGAAAATAAACGGTGTGACACAGACATTTTGATGAGATAGAACGAGTGAGAGAGCCAGTGGCGTACAGGGGGGGAAAGGGTGGTACTACTATATGATTTTTTATTTTGATGGATGGAATGGGAGGCCATAGATGCCTAAGATTTCTTTTTCTTTTTTTATATTAGTGATGAATTTACCATGACAATAGATGTAATGAAAAAATATCTTCTTTTTAGTTTCTCATGTTGAAGTTTGGGTGCCGTATAAGTGATGTCGAGGAGAGTTGCCTCGTATTTTGCACGAGCACATTTTTGTACGACAATTTACGCAGTATGCACTAAGCTTAGCCATCCATGCAAAAGTGATTAAGCGATTGGTCCATTGATTAATGCCAGTCACATTATATTAAAAGATAGAGGAACTGTTGGTCGAATGAAGTCGATACGCACATGCACATGAGTGAAGCCTTATCAGCTGCAAGGCCGCTGACTCAGCAGGCAAATGGCGGTGCAAACCGTTCTGCCCAGCGTCGGTCCACGGCGACCGCCGAGCTTAGCCGCGTTTTCTGACAAGTTTGTCCCTTGCATTGGCGGATTGTTTGCTATCTTGGCGCTTCCCCCAAATCCTAATCCCGGGCGCCCATGGGGGGGAATCGTTGGGGGATCTATTTAAGAGCCTCGGGGGAGCAGCTTCTGGAGAGAATTCTGTCTTTGTTTCTGCTGGATTTTGCGGAATTGGAGATTGATTAGCTGACGGTAAGTATTGATTGTTACTTCTTGATTGCAATGGCATTCAATCGAAATCGAAGTGCATCTGCGGCTTGTGGGGCTTGCTGACGTCTTTTGGTCCCCTATTAGTGGTACAGTGTTGAACAGAGGCTGATAAACTAGATAGCTTCATCTTCACAAGGACATAAGAGAGTCAGAACATCATTGAGGCCGTCTGGAGATATCGATAAGAGAAAGAGAGGGAGCCCGAGAGAAGAGCGGGGGAAGAGAGTGTGTGTGACTGTGTGTCTGTGTGACAGAAAGTAACGAAAAACACAACACATCACATTCATATCTGGAATCAAACATGTCACCACAGAGAAAGCTGCTGCTGTTGGGCACCTTTGTCCACTCCAAGACCCAGCAGGACCTGGATTTCCTGCACAAGGCGGGAATCGCCGTCGACGCCCACGGCAAGATTGCGGCCATTGAGCGGGATGCGCACGATTTGAGCGAGGTCAAGGCGCGGCTGCTGGCCAAGCTTGGCTGGGATGAGGCAGAGGTGGACGTGACGGAGGCGACTGAGGGACAGTTTTTCTTTCCGGGCTTTGTGGGTGAGTAGAAGGAATATCATCATTGCTGCTTCTGGACGTTTGATACTGACAAAAACAACACCACAGACACACACATCCACGCCTCTCAGTATGCCAATGCCGGCATCTTTGGCAAATCAAGTCTCTTGGAATGGCTCGAGACATACACCTTCCCCCTCGAAGCCAGCCTCAAGGATCTCTCCAAGGCGCGCCGCGTGTATTCCAGATGCATCCGCCGCACGCTCTCACACGGAACCACAACGGCAACCTATTTCGCCACCCGCGATGTCCCCGCGACGAATCTGCTGGCGGACCTGTGTCTGTCCATGGGCCAGCGAGCGTTTGTCGGCCGAGTGTGCATGGACAGGCCTGACATGAATCCCGCCTACTATCGCGATGCCTCTGCGAGCGAAAGCGTGGAGGCAACGCAGCAAGTGATTGACCACATACGTACCATCGACCCAGGCTTCGACGTCGTCTCCCCCATTATTACGCCTCGCTTCGCCCCTTCGTGCTCGGCCGAGGCCATGAAGGGCCTGGCAGAGCTGCATCGCCAGACGGGCCTCCCCATCCAGACTCACGTCTCGGAGAACCCCGGCGAGATCCAGCTCGTGGCGCAGCTGTTCCCAGAAAGCAACTCATACACTGACCTCTACGACAAGTGTGGCCTGCTCACGCCACGCACGGTGCTAGCCCACGCGGTACACATCTCAGAGGAGGAGGCGGATCTCATTGCGCACAACAAGTCCAAGGTCTCTCACTGCCCGTGCAGCAACACGTGCTTGACCAGTGGACCTGCGAGGGTACGGTGGATGTGGGATAAGGGTATCGATGTTGGGCTAGGGACGGACGTCAGCGGCGGATACAGCCCTTCGATCCTAGAAGCCGCCAGACAAGCCGCAATGGTGAGCCGGCATGTAGCCATGGCCATCGAGGAAGAGAAGGAAAAGGAGAGGGCCAAGTTGACGGTCGAAGAGGTGCTGTATCTCGCCACAAGGGGAGGAGCTCGCTGTGTAGGGCTGGAGGACAAGATTGGGGGGTTCGAAGTAGGCATGGAGTGGGATGCGCAGCTGGTGACTCTGAACGAAGTCAATGGCGATGGGGAGGTGCACGATGAAGATGACGACCATGGTTTTGTTGATATGTTTGGGTGGGAGACTTGGGGTGATAGAGTGGCCAAGTGGGTGTACAATGGAGACGACCGGAACACGAAGCGGGTTTGGGTCAAGGGCAGACTGGTGCATAGACGGAAATGACGAGCATGACGATCAAATCTTAACAAGAGCGAAAACACAACAACATCATGACGAAGAAATGTAATGAGGAGCGACTATATGGGGCGAAAGACACGGGATATAGATTCAGGAGGAAGGGAACTGTTAGATTTTTGATTTAGAGAACATTGGATTTCCGTTTTCATATATCTAGAGCTTAGAGCAGAATGAAGAACAACCCGTCAACGATTGATCAGAATGTCAAAAACACCCTTTTCGCCTTTCTCTCCTCTGACCATGTTCAACAACCCTAGCCCCTGCCCTTTCATGTAGCCCACTCGATTCAACAACAAGCTCTCGCTCCTCCAAAGCCAAAGCAATCTCGAAAAAAGAAAAAAGTCCTTCTCCAACACGTAGATTCAATCTCCGTCATCCTCGATTCGGTTCCAACGCCTCTCCCATCTGTCTCTCACCATCCATAACAAAGAAATCATTCCATATCCTCATAATCCTCAAACTCCATATCCAGCTCCGTTCCGAACCACCCAAACCCAACACCTCGATCCCCATTTCCCTACTCTGAAGACTCTGGATGTTGCTCTTCCCCTTCCTCCTCATCTTCCTTCCTCGCCTCCGCCCTCCGCTTATTCCTATCCGCCCTCTTCTTCGCCTCCTCTCGCTTCTTCGCATCCGCAACCTCCCCCTCAACAACCTTCACCCGCCCATCAATCTCCTTAACAAGTCTCGTCTTGACCCCCGCAGGCACAATGTTCCAGTCCGCCGTGCTTCCCCCCAACGCAAGCACCTTCATCCTAAACCAAGCACACTCCGCCGTCTTCTCATTAAGCAGCACCCTTGTATTATTCAACGCCTCAAGACGAGCCTGTCGTGACTTTTTAGCCGCCTGGTTGTTCCGCTGGCGATCAATCTTCTGGTGTTCAGCGGCAATCTCATTGTTACGCATCTCAATCTGCAGACGTTCCGGATCGCTGATCCCATCGGGGAATTTGAGAAAATCCGCTATGAACGGCTTTGGAGGCAAATCTTGGACTTGGGATGGTGGGAGAATCGGCGGGTTGCGCTCCTGAAAAGTGATTTCGTGCTGAAGAGCGTCTTTGCGACGGGTGTGTTCGGTAGAGGCGAGGCCTTGGGGGATGGAGAGGAGCATTTCGTCGAGAGAGCAGCTTCCCATGCGGAGTGACGGTGATGTTCGTGAACGTATCGTCTGTGTTCGAGATGGTGTTTGAGATGACACGCTCACAATCGAAGTTGGAGCTGGACCCGGTGCTTGGAGAGACATTTGTGGGAGATTATGATATGTCGCGGTTGGATCAAACACTGTAGAAGCTTGAACGTTTATGCCCGACTGCGAAGAAGACGAAGAGGCTTCACTGCTGGCAGAGTTGAAACTGGCAGCCAAAGGGTTGGAAGCTGCACCGCGACGACGCTTCGCCTGCCCCTGAATCGGAGACGAAGGCAAACGAAGCGAACGTTTGCCGGCGGGTGACATTTGAAGTGGTTTTCCTTTGATATGGGGTATGTTCTTTGTGTGTGTGCCTCAGTCTTCCTTCAATACAGGAAAACAAGCAAACAAACCCGGTTGCTCCCTGAACCGTGGGATGAGAAACAACAACAATGAAGATATATCAGGAGAAGAGTGTAGCGTCCTAGCAGAATCCCGTTAACAAACAAAGAAGAAGAAGAGCAAAAAGAGATTAGCACAAGCCACAACAAAAGCTCGAAAAGAAAAGGCGGTATGTGTAGGCAGAGAGAAAAGAAGAAGAAGGAGACGCGTCTCAATCTTTTCTCGCGCCGACTATGTTCTTATTCCCCCGTCTTCCAAACGCAGAGAGGAGAGTGGAAGCTCCAAGTCTTGTCTGAGCTTTTTGTAGAGGGCATGGTTCTCTGCTTTATAGACGGAGACTTTTCTCTCTCTTTCTGTGTGTGTGTCTGGCACTGCGCGCAAGATGTAGGTAAATAGAAAAGGCCTGTTTCGTTCGAGGAAACGAGATATTTGATAATGTGAGGCGGTCAAACAAGCAGCTTACAATGTCGTCGCTAGAAAAAACGGCGATGATTGCAACAAAAGATCGTAGTTGAAAAGAGGTGAATGAAGCATGCACAAACTTTGGAGAGGGAGAGGGAGAAGAAAGGGGGGGAAGAAGAGAGAAAGGGAGTGGGGTCTCTTTACCTGCACGGTCTTTTTGGAAGAGAGAAACGAATCTCGTTTTTTTTTCTCGGTTGACCTTTATTTCACTTCCACTTCACCTTCACCCAATATCTTTCTTTCCAACATGTATATAACAAGACTAGAATGAAGAGGAGAAATTCATTATAAAAAGAACCTTGGAGCAGAGACCGTAATACAACCATCTATCTTAAACCTCGAGCATGTCGACAAAAATAAAGGAGAACAATAGAAACAATAAAACCCCATCCGTTACCAGCAGGGTGAATCAATGCCACTTCTCATCTAACCAAAAACTTGCAGTGCTCTCGGTTTCAACTACGGCCCGTACCACCAACAAACACATGTTGCCCCTTTTGCTAAGCTCTTTGCTTCGACAAATAGACATATCAAACACATACGACTACCCTGTTGCTGCTGTGAATCCAAACGCCCCCTTTCTCATCTACCTACAGCTTCTGCTGCCTGGCTACTTCATATCGTGTTTGCCCATGGGGCCACACCTGCAGTGAATAAGTCACAATCGATTGGCTACCAGCCATCTCCATTTGTCTACATCGCCTCATCAAAGTTGCTTCAAACAGTACCAGCAATCACTTCGCCACCTCCGTTTCATTACTTCACCATCACTATAATGTCAAAAGAGAAACCGCACAGTCACTTCTGAATCTCGAGCCAAAAGCTTGTCATCGCCTAGACATACAACAATTTGAATTCGTGCGCTCAGCAAATAGCCCACCATCACCAAGATGGGGAAAGTAACCAAAATAACCTATACCAATATACAGATAACATGTTCTTGACCAATACACAGATAAAAATGTCATCCTAGAACCAATGTCTGCCGTACACACCATCACAGGGATATCTTTTCCATCATAACCATAATAATGTCGCTCATAATTCTTGCCAGCCTGACCAGGCCCCTCAATCCGCCCAGACTATCCGTCACAGTATCCAAGAAATGAAAATATCCCCCAACACCATAGAACCAATTAACCTTCACAGATATTTGCTAACAAATAGAAACGAATATTCATCTGTGCCATAATGTTGAAATGTTGAAACAGAGGCAACCATCACTGAGATGCCCTCTTTGTTATTTATTTTTGTTTTTTTCCCTTGTCGGTATTGCTCATCTCGTCCGGTTCTTTCGGTACTATTGAGCCATGCCTTTAAAGGGCGAGGCCGGTTCCGTTACCCGTCCATCGGTACAACGCAAGGAGTTCGCGTCGTCGTTGCTGCTGCTCAGCTAGATCCTCTGGCACACGACCCCGAATCAGTGCAAGCGCGCTTCGCATGACCTTGCTAAAGTTCCGCTGATATAACTGTTAGTCCTTGATTCACATAAAAATATTCCCTGGAGGATGGTAATACTTACTTGATACTCTGTGCTCAGAGTCACCACACAAGCTTCGTGTGCTCGCACAATGGTCTCACATGCCTTGATGACACTTGGAGACGCTTCAGCTTGCAGCTTGTCGGCGATCAAGAGGAGGAGGAAAGATCCCTGGAGGAGGTAGACGCCGTAAAAGAATGGCATAAACTCCAAGCCGGGGTCGAATTCAAGAATCTGGTTGATGGCTTCGGCAGCCGATACCGCGTGGCTCGTTGCCGTCACGAACCCTTCCGATGAAATCCACAGGTCGTCGTCATCCAGAAGATTGATGGGGTCCCATTTATCTGCGAGCAGAATGTGGAGGACATGCATCACATGGGTGCTGTAGGCCACCACGATGCTGGCCTGGATCTCACTCTCCGTCATGCGACTGGACGCGTTGGTCCGCACCGAGAGCGGAGACTGCATGTCCGGCACGGGTCCGTTGTCGCGAATCTCATGCTGCTCCTTGTCCTTTGTGGCCATTGGAAGATGCTTTCCAGCGAACCGCTTTAGACTCTCCTCATACATGTCCAAGTGTCGGGAGATCTCAGCGACTTGCTCGTCCCAATCCCGCGCAGAGCGGAATCCGACGCCAAATCGCGGGTGGCTCTTTGCGTGATGAACATCGACAATCTCGCCCAGGATGGTCATTAGAGACAAGAAATAGCCAAAGATGCTGCGGCCACGACACTCGTAATGAGCCCCGCGAGCAACACGCGGGCTGTCGCCAAACTCATCCGTCATGGAGCTATCGATATTGCCTCCATCGTGGCTGCGGAATTTGCCCGCTTGCCACTTAATGTCATCCATGGGGTGGAAGAGGTCGCTGCACTCGCTATCAAGGAGAAACAGGGGGCGGTTATAGCAGAGAGCCAGGTGCCTGTCGACAATGTAAACAAGCCACCACGCTCGCCGCCGCTCCTCTCGCTCCTCTTCTGTCACAAAGCGTGTGTTGTTTCTATTCAAGTCGTGTTCATCAACCTCTTCGTTGATGGCATCAGCGTCCTCGTTGGCGGGAGGGTTGCCCTGCGGTAGCTCTCGGCCAAGCTTAAGCTCCCTGGCGAGAGACCACGCGGCACCCCACCATCGAAGGCTGGCGCCCTTGTACTCGCTGGCGGAGATGACTGTGGCAAGATGAACATAGGTAATGACATCGTCGAGGCTTCCTATGGCTCCAAAGGCACCTGTTTCACCAGCCAGGGAATCCAGGTTCAGCGAACCCGGCATGGCAACACCAAGAACTCCCAAGGCAGCCGCGCCAACTACCGGGCTGGTCTTGGGGGACGGGCTGTTTGTGCCGGTGTGGATCAAGGGCTGGAGAAGTCCCACAGTCAGCTCGAGCAGCTTCTGGCAGACCTTGCTTCTTGCGGAGGGGAGGCTCGTCAGGAAAGACGCCTCGCTGGTCTGCGCTGCTACCCACAGCATGCTCGCAAGCAGCGCGGGCTGGCACCTTCTTGGGTTTGTGGGGTGTAAAAAGGAGCGCTTTCGGAACACGAAACCCAAAACGTATGGAGACATTGGGTGCATTTGTGCCGACGAAGATGAGGAAAAGTACAGGTCAATCAGATCGCAGGCCAGCGAAAGGGGGAGGATGTTTCCCAAGTGAGGTAGTAGGGGCTCAAGGACGGGGTATCGCAGATCACTCTGCTTGAAGATGGGCTGCGAAAGCTGAAGCTGGAACTGGCCACCAGGCGAGGCTAGTGAGACTCCCCACGAAGGTGAGCTCCCATTTGCCATAGGATACTCTTGGATATGACCGGCGCTGAGTCGAAAATTGCCGTCGCTGCTATAAGTCGCCGGACTCGGGGCTTGTGTAGCGTAGTTGATGCCCGAATACCCGGGCATGGTGGTCTGAGTCTGGCCATACGAAGGAGCTACCATTACATGCCCATTCATGCCGGGGCTATCATAGTTGTGGTGAACTTCGCCATATGGACCCAAGCCCATTGCGGACGATGGCTCCAACTGACCTCTGCTCAGGGCAGGATCAACTCCGACGTGGCCATGATGATCTTCAAGACCATCCATCGACCCAATCGCAGGATGTTGGGACAGCCCATTGTCGCTGAAGGAGCTGACAGAGCCCTCTATGTGACCATGAGGCTGGTCATGGGCTGCTTGGGGGAGTTCAGTACTGCCACGTGAAGACTCACTCTGCTGGCGTAAAAGTTTGCGATCTTCTTGGCTATCCTGGGCCTGGCCAGGATGCTGTGCCGCCGCGGCCGCCGCCTGCTGGGCAGCAATATCCTTGCGCGAAGCCTTGCCTCGCTTCTTTCTCTCTCGGACATACTCGCAGCCAAGGCCGAATTCTAGCAAAGGTTAGTACATTTCTATGAAGGCTGCTTTACTTATGGGAGAGGCAAGGTGTCATACCTATACAATGGGCACAAGGATGTAAACCATCGCATTTTGTACGTAGCTGGTTGCACTGGTCACAGGCGCGACTGATTCTCCTCCTGATTGGCCCAGTAGTCCCTGTGGAGTTCTTTCTAGCAACAACAAGAGAACCCTGGCGCTGCTTTGGCTGTGCCGGGTTGGCCCTTATCATACGCGAGTTTGAAAGCTCTGCGTGTTGAGAAAGGTGTTGCATAGGATAGGGGTGGCCGTTGTTGTTAAACGTGTTTACGTTTATTGAGTGGAGATGGGATTGAGATCCATGGTAGTTCGGGTCAAAAGACGCCGAGGAGATGTCGGGATACGCAGAATAGCGACGGAGAGGATTGGACAACATTGTGGCGCGTTGTTATTAATTCGAAGATGATGAAGATGATGAATGTATGGTTATTAAGTTGATATTTTTTGTTGAGGGCGGGTTGGTAGGAAGGATACAGCGCGTGCCGAAATAGGAGATGGCTGAACTGTGTGGCCACAAAGCACGGTTCGAAAGCAGGACTGGGATACTCAGTCCGAGATGCCTTCAAAGCGGTGGCTGCGTGAAACT